CCATTTTTGACGGAATTTTTTTATATCATTCAAAAGGTATTGTTGTCCTGAGCTTAAATTTGAAAAAATAGTTCACCTGTGATCATTTTTCGTAAAGTTATGGGGGTTTAAAGGTTGCCATTTAGGCCAATTTGGGACAATTAACGAGCGATATAATTCGCGCTATTAGCGCGTAAGCGGAGATTTAATCCGTCCTATAAATCGTTCCAAATTGGTTGAACGAAGCTTATTTGCCATAATTGATTTATTACAAGGAAGGAAATCTCACTTTTTGTACTGTATATGGCGTGTGGGGGGATGGTTTTCATTAAAAATTTCAAATTTTAGAAAAAAAATTTCATTTTATTTTATTTCATTTTATTTTTTTATGTTATTACTGCTGCTCCATAAACCCTAAAAGGCAGTCGGAACATTCAGGGCTTTGCCTTGATACGAGCAGTCTTGTTCAAATTAAACCTCAAGACAACAATACATTCTGAATGATATTTTAAAAATTACGTCAAAATTGGCTAGTTAAGAAGTACAAAAGTGTTTGAAGAAAAAAAACACAAATATTCCGTTACTTTTGTTCCGAAAGTCGGAGCAATAATAGACGCAATTTCCATAGCTGTCAAATCACCCTGCCGTTTCAAGGAAAAAAATCAGTTAACCATTGGATGCGTAGATAACCATTGCGTAACGTTTTCTAGGTTTGTGTGGAAGTCACTTTTTGCAGAGACTAGTAATTAGAGAAACAATGTAAATCAGAGAAACAATTAAGAATCTCACCTGCCAGAAATTTGTGCCCTCGTCTTTAAGCTTCAAGACAGTAGCAGATTTAGGGGAGGAGGGGGGACACACTTCTCAGGGATTCTCCCCCTGATGATCCAAAATATCCCCCTTTTGGTATGCTTAAATACATCCATTTTGGCTGATCGATCCTTAATTTTTTTCAAAAGCGCTAAAATAAAAACTAATTTTGAAGGGAGTCCAAGTTTTTCAAGAAGTGCTTAAAGACGCTTTTTTTTCGGCCCGTACAAATAGGTTATTTATAGTGATTTGGCAGAGCTCGGAAAATCGATTTAGTTAACCAAGAAAAGGTACAAGACAACCGACAATGAATCTTTTAAAATATCGAGTATATTTTCAAGTGCAGTTTTCATTTTGAAAATACATACTAACAAGACTGCTCGTATCAGGGCGAAGCCCTGAATGATCCGACTGCCCTTTATTTGTTCTCATGCTAGAATTTGAGTAGAATTAAAACAGGTCTGCCCGTATTAGGGCAAATCAATCCTGAATGTTCCGACTGCTTTTGAGGTCTATGGAGCAGTAATAGCATGAAAAAATTTAATGTAAAAAATTAATTGAAAATTTTTTTCTTCTAAATTTGCGATTTTTTCAGAAAATTATCCCACCACATTCCATCTATTATGACAATTCAGCTTCCTTCAATCAATTTGAAACGATTTCTAATGCAGATTCAGTCTCCGCTTCCGCGCTAATAGCTCGAAATATATCGCGCGTCAATTGCCCCAAATTAGCCAAAAAAGGCAATTTTAAACCCCCATAACTTGACAAAAAAATGATCACAGCTGAAATATTTATTGTTCCGACTTTCGATACGAAAGTAACGGAATATTTGTTCTCGGGGTGGGTTTTTCTTTTCTTCAGAAAAATTTCGACTTTTTAACAAGCCATTTTTGACGGAATTTTTTTATATCATTCAAAAGGTATTGTTGTCCTGAGCTTAAATTTGAAAAAATAGTTCACCTGTGATCATTTTTCGTAAAGTTATGGGGGTTTAAAGGTTGCCATTTTGGCAAATTTGGGACAATTAACGAGCGATATAATTCGCGCTATTAGCGCGTAAGCGGAGATTTAATCCGTCCTATAAATCGTTCCAAATTGGTTGAACGAAGCTTATTTGCCATAATTGATTTATTACAAGGAAGGAAATCTCACTTTTTGTACTGTATATGGCGTGTGGGGGGATGGTTTTCATTAAAAATTTCAAATTTTAGAAAAAAAAAATTTCATTTTATTTTATTTCATTTTATTTTTTTATGTTATTACTGCTGCTCCATAAACCCTAAAAGGCAGTCGGAACATTCAGGGTTTTGCCTTGATACGAGCAGTCTTGTTCAAATTAAACCTCAAGACAACAATACATTCTGAATGATATTTTAAAAATTACGTCAAAATTGGCTAGTTAAGAAGTACAAAAGTGTTTGAAGAAAAAAAACACAAATATTCCGTTACTTTTGTTCCGAAAGTCGGAGCAATAATAGACGCAATTTCCATAGCTGTCAAATCACCCTGCCGTTTCAAGGAAAAAAATCAGTTAACCATTGGATGCGTAGATAACCATTGCGTAACGTTTTCTAGGTTTGTGTGGAAGTCACTTTTTGCAGAGACTAGTAATTGTCATAGTGACACAGCGTACGTGAAAAAGCTTGCGATAAAGTAACTTAAAACAATTTGTCAATTGTTATGTTGTTTTTTCGTAACAAGTTTGTAATATTAATTTTAATCAAAATCTATTTTAGGGCATTGCTCTGATCAGAGGTGGAATCGGGCCGAATTTTCTAAGCCCGAACCCAGCCGAAATCCTTGTTTGAAAAAACGGTAGTCCCGGAAAATTAACTGGCCCGAATGGTTCGAAAAAGTAGAAATCTAATGATGCGCTTTCGGTGAAAACCAATACTACTGATGAACCGTTCGCATGAGTTCTTTTTTGATTTCAGCCAGAAGGCATTCCTCGCTCGATACAAGCAGTCTTGTTTTGCGTTAAGTGCAGAACTTTTGCTCCCGTTAGTCCAGCACATATTTTTTTGTTTGATCTGAGGGCATTTGGGCAAGTAAAACAAGCTTAGGTTTCTTTTAAGGCAGGCTCCACTGAGCACAGTCACGCTAAAGCATGCAGTGCATCCTTTTTCTGAAAGCAATTAATAACAAGACTGCTTGAATATCTGCTTAAGGACCTGAACGTTTTGACTGCACTCTAAGGCTAATTGAAAAAGTTTGTTTTCTTTAGATAATCGACAAAAAAATTTTAAAAAAAGTTTTTTTTTTAATTTTTTTTCTCCATTTCGTCCCCCTCCAAAAATACAAAGGGTGTGTTTGGCATCCATTATTGTGTAAGAGGACTAAATTACTGGACTCAATTCAATTTGAAACGCATTAATTAGCCGCCAACGCGTGCCATAAGAACGCATTATATCGCGCTTTATTTTGCGCATTATTTATCCCAAATTGATCAAATTAGCAATTTTTAAAACCCCGTAACTTTGCGAAAAATGATAACACGTATAATAAGTATATTTTTCTTAAATTTGAGCTCAAGTAAACAATATCTGCAGCTGAGTGACAAAAAAACTATACAACTGCGTATAAAATTGATAAGTTAGACATAATGAACAACCTTAGGAGAATGAAAAATCGTAAATAAAAAAAAATTTATTGCCAGAGAAGCATGTAAAAGAAGCTTCCAAGACCTTTTTTTCAATTAAAACCACTTCTCCTAAATTAAATGAAAACTCAAAAATTGCAACCTGGCTTTTCCCTACACTGAATGTAATTTAAATGACGTTCAAATTACGAGCAGAATATTTTCTTTTGATATTTCACTTGACCTATTCTTTTTATTATTTGTGGTACCTGATGTTTGTGGAAAGAAAAATAAAACAGGCTAACACAAAAATCCTGCTCATTTTTGATGGTCGGAATAAAGAACAGCAGAGATTTTATCAAAATTGTACTGGTTGTCTAGAACTAGTAGAATTGGCATATATTTTTTTCCTTTTTCAAGTTTCATATGTGAAAATCAATCCCGTTTTTGTGTCATTTGCTTTTTTTGCCATTGTAGAGCAGTATTTGTCTAAAAGAGCTTGAAGTGAACTTTCAGTTAAATCAATTTTAAGCCACAAAACAACTGCTCGTGTCAGGGCAAAACTTTGCAGGTTCCAGTTTTCTTTTAATTTTTATGGAATAGTGTTCATTTAAAAAACTAAAGTGCGGCTTTGCTGCTGGAATAATACTTTGATAGTTTGTTTCAAACGCAAATTATTTATGCGTGGCAAATTATCCGCACTCATAATTGTTCCAAACTAAATTGAGGCAAGCTAATTTGTCTTCATATTTGCAAAAACGACTCAATTTTTAACACTTTAATTTTATTCGCCTAAAATTTGTAGTTTTTGAATTTTTCATAAACCAAAATTGATTCGAGACCAACTAATGGGCAGTCAGAACATTCATGGCATTGCCTTGATGCGAGCAGTCTTGTTTGCTCATGCCAAAACCTTAAATAGATCGATAGCATGCCTCAATTCAATTTGGAAAAATTTCTAAGACAGATTAAGAATCCCCCTACGCGTTAATAACACTAGCAATATTGCTCGTTAATCATCCCAAATTGGCAATCTTTAACCTCTATAGTTTTGTAAAAAACAAATTATAACAGGTAATTTTTTTTATCCAATTAGAGCTTTGGACGACAATACTTTTTGATGATGTAAACAATTGTCGAAAATGGCTACTTAAAAAGTCGAAAATTGTCTGGCAAAAAAAAACACCCAGAGCGCAAATATTCCGACTTTTTCTTTGTAAGTCGATTCATTAAAAAAAAGCATCAACAATTTAAATCAAACTTTTCTGATCATGTCAGAAACATCGTCCAAGTAATAGGATTGGATTGACTTTAAACTCAGGTTTGCGTTATTCTGAGCAAGGTCAGTTTTTGAAATAGAAGCCACACGAGAACTTACATTGAACTCCTTTCAGTTGAGATGCTAAATAAAAAATTTGGGTTTCTCTGGGTTCGCATAAATCAACTTGATGCTTAGGTTATATCTCAAGTAATAAGTGCAACTAATCCCTGCAAAAGACACTAATTTTTTTCAGAGCCTGAAAAACTCAAATCACTGAGAATTTTTGCTGCAACATTCAAGGATTCGACCAGTTTGTCTATTCAAAAAATTTCTTCAAAAATGTAAGCTCTCTTTTTGAAGAAGAAAAACTATTGAAAACAAGGTTCAAACTGAATAGATATCACAGTATCAAAATTGCAGATTTTTTGATTCAATTTACAATATTTGACTCAATTTAGTCCGAATCTGAGTTCTTCTCTTAAAAGAGAGGACAAACGCAGTCGGATTTTGCTGCTGAATTGAAAATTCTCATTCATAATTTTAAAATGAACAAATGATGTGATAATCTTGCTATAAGCGATATGATATCATTGCGGGAGGGAAAATTCTCACTAAAGATAGTTCGCAAAATAACGAAAATTATGCAAAAATTACTGCAAAATCAATGTTGGTAAATTATTAAATATGGAGAGGTTTGCTTATAGTTATAAGGTAATTGAAAGCTGTCCATTATCAGGTGCGTCAAACCATAGACTATACTTAGCATTTAAAGTGACGAGAATGATTTTCGGAGACAAATGGAGAGCCGCATTATTCTATTTTGGAATATATAAACAAGGTCGTTATGCTTCGTATGTATGATTAATGAAGTTCGGATTTGTTAGCACCATTCTTCGTTTTGGGATTTCACTCCCAAGAAAGATGAAGTCGTGTTTCGGGTAGCCGGGTCGTCACTAATAGCTGCCGACGGTATGTTGCTCTTCGCGATCAAAAGTTTCGTCTGGCTTCCAGACTGGTTCACGATTCCTAGCGTCGGGAATTTTGTATTACACGTCGTAAAATGACTCGGGATACCTATACTCGGATTGGGGGTTCGACTTGTCACGTGGTTATACCCGACATGAAGTTTCCCAGAACTGTTCGGGGAGTCGTGGGGTGACATGGTAATGTTTCTGGAATGGTAGTTATGCCGACTGCTCGCCCCACTGTAATAAGGCATGTTCGGATGTCTGTTAACACCTTCACTTTTAGTTGAAGACGCCTCGCTCGACAACGACCTCCCTAGACCTCCTAAAGCATACGGAGGCAGTGAGAAAGTAGAAGACGCGTCTTTGGATCCCGAAGGACCTGAGCCCGGTGTCTCGGTTATCTGCGGTACTGTTGAGGCCGACGCCAGAAGCTTTGCGTTTGTCGGTGACATATCAATTCGTTTTTGCCTCACAGGTTTCGTTAATCTCTTCGATTGCGATGATTGCTTGTCTAGCATGAGGTTCGGAATGTCACTTGGTCTTAAGTAGTTCTCACTGTATAATTTTTGGGTTCTCTGTCCAGGTGAATGCTGGCTGTCTTGGCTGGATTGTCGACTGACGTCATAGATTCCTGAAGATTGACTTTCAAAACTAGCTTGGCGACTTTGGTCTTCTGTACCGCCATTTGTCGTGTGATGATTTGACGGAGGTTGATTTGAAGTGCTGGCTGCGTTTGGCGACAGTTTGTTTGAAGTTATGTGTTTCTTTTTCATTCTGCCGTTTCGCGATTTTGATAAAAGCTGTTCGTTGTCGCTTTGCCAACGTTGGTAATTCTCGTAATCACTGCAATAATTTCTTTGATTGTTGTCGCAGCTATCGATACTGTCGTTCTGTATCGTTGTCCAATCATCCTCGACGCTACTTTCCCAAGGAGCTTCTGGATTGTAGTTTTGTTTGCTGCTTGGTCGAACCGGGAGTCTCCTAGGTGTCCAGCGGGTGATCTGCTGTGATTGTCTCCGGGATGGCTCGTAGCCGGAATCTAAGCTCTGGTTTCGAAATAAGGCATTGGATGATTGATTGTTTTGAGCATGGTGATCGCTTATTGGTCCGTACTTCGGGATACAACTGGGAGGTCTTGGGAGTCTTGGACCCCCGTGGTGACGTCGAAAGGGTTCCTGATCTTGCGGAGTTGCTGGGAGGTATCGATGTGGGAAGTATGACTCACTTGGGTTCTGAACATGTTTGTACTTGTGGACTATCGATTTATTTCTAGGAAAAGGAGGCAGGTGCCGTCTGATTGCCGGACGGTTCGGAATGATAGGAGGGGGCACCACCGAAGGCGGGAAGTAGGAGACAGGTGGGGCTCTTAAGGCAGCAGATACTGAGTTAGGGGGTGCGAAAGCAGGCATCCCAACTCCTCCGACCATCCCTATGCCCCCCGGAGTGAGGGGTTTGTACTGTTTGCTAATGTAGGGGTCCCCCCTTCTATCCCCACTAATTGCGAATCCATAGGGCGGAGGGGTCAGTGGTGTTTCACACTCTTCTTGGACTGAAAAATTAATTCTGAATTATTTAATTTTTTACAGAAAATTTGGATCATCGATAGCAATTTTAAAGCAAGACTAAAAAAACCATGCACTGATAAGATTATTATGATTGCTAATTTATGCATTGTCCTGAAGGATCTAAGTAGTTTTTCATTTAATGGCTTTTCAGTTTTTCTGTAACATGCAAAATTGATAGTTGAATAAAGTGAAATGGGTACAATTTCGAAACATAGCCAACAGACAGTTGAAAAAGTGTCAATGAACTGAAGGAGTCCGAAAAAGCGACTGGTTTTTATAGGAAAAATGTTCAAGACTTTCCAAATTTAAAAAAATATATATTTCTCCATAAAACTCTTTGAATTTCAAGATGAGTTTAACATTGACATCAGGGGCGGGTCTAAAATCTTCTCGAGGGGGGAGGGCGGATTTTCAAAACTTTTTCGAAAATTTTGTCGATCTTTTTTTTAGGTCGACTAAATTGATTTTCCGGGCTCCTCTCCAAGCACTAAAAAGAACTTGGTACGGCCAAATTTTCCTGCACCGCAGCAGGCGTTTTTAGGCACTTTTTGGAAAATTTTAACCAAAAAACCGCGTTGTTTAGGCGCGCGCTCCCCCTCAAAATTAGTATACATTGGTGCCGAAGGCGCCTTTAGAAAAATTTTAGGGTCCGTCACCAAAAATTGATATCTCAAAAAAGTACAAAGGGGGACCCTATGGGTGGGCAGGGGTCGAATCCCTGAGGGGAAGTGTCCGCCCCCTGCCCCCTCCCCCCTAAATCCGCCCCTGATACATCTTGTCATAAAATTAAACCAATTTGAGAAAACGGGATCAAGAGCCAATGTTTTTTTTACGCTGGGAAAACTAAGAACTAAAGTTCACCTTTAAAATTACAAATCATTCGCGTTTTTTATGCGCCATTTGCAAAATTATGATTGAGAAATTCAGGGGCGGATCTAGGATTTTCTCGAGGGGGGGCGGATTTTCAAAAAATTTTCCAAAATTTTGACGACCTTTTTTTTTTTTAAGGTCGACCAAATTGATTTTTCGAGGTCTCCCAAAGCACTGTTTTGCCCCTACTTTGGTTATATTTTCTGCGCCGCAGGCAAATTTTTGAAAAAACAGTCAAAAGAGCCGTTTTTGGGCAATTTTTGAACAATTTTGACAAAAAATCGCGTTTTTTTGGCGCGCGCTCCCCCTCAAAGTTAGTATATATTGGCGCCAAAGGCGCCTTTAGAAAAATTTTAGGGTCGGTCGGCCAAAAATGGATTTCTGAAAAAGTATCAAAGTATCTACAATAAACAAAATAATATTGGCAAAATGTTGTCCCAATTAGCCAACTAACCATTTAAGAGAGGACGGATTTTTCTGGAGTGATAATATTAATCGGCGATTGGTGAAGTCAGGTTGAAACCAATCCATGATTAACTAATCTGCATTCGTACTTGGTTCGCAGCGGGATTTACTCGGTTTCTTGGCCTTGAACGTAAATCATGCGACTAATATCATCAAACATGCAAAAATAGAACTATGTCAGAAAATAAAAATAAATCTTCATTTGGGGAAATTCACTTGAGCGATTTTGTTTATAGCACACAGGTAATGATAAATTAATGCAGGGTGCACTAATAGTGAGTGAGCGAGCACGCGTGATTAAAGTGAAGAGCGTGAACACTTCATGCCTTAGTTGTATGGTTCACAATAGGAGCACTAGTGTTGAAATGCACACGTGAATAAATAGGTGTTAAAATGCACGCGTGAACAAGTGTAAGTATCATGCACGGTAGTCGTAGTCTGGCTCGAATGCCGCATTCTCCATGCCTCGATGAGGGATGCCACTCACTACTCTAGGGGGCCTGGGTCGGTTTCTACCTTGGTAAAGCGAATTAGTCGGCCCATATCTGATCTCAGGCACCGTTAAGTTACTCGCCCCGCCAACTCCGTTACTCCCTGGTCCATTCGGCAGACCGAGCGACTGGGGATCTCTTGCTGGCGACAGGTACCCCATTCCCATTCCGGAAGTAGGCGGGGGTCCCAGATGGGTCCTGGCGGGTGGCGGAGGTCCATGACCATGGGATGTCATGGGTATGCGTCTGCCAGGAGGGGGAGCAGGCTCCATCGAATCAAGCTCCTCGACTATGCTTGATCTCTTTGAATCTACAGACGCTCCTTTCTAAAACATCAAATTTGTGTTCTGACCAGTGAAGGTAGAAAGAAACTTTGCATTCAAAGGCGTTCGAGCGATATATCATGTTAATTATTGATTTTTGTCTCGAGAAAGTTTTTGTGCGCCCAAAAGCAGAACTTTATCAGAGGTATTTATCACACTCTTGTCTAGAAATCTAAGTTAGCTGAAGTATCTCAAAATAATACAAAGGGGGACCCTTTGGGTTGACAGGGGGTCAAATTCGTGAAAAGAAAAAGCGTCCGCTTGATCAAAATTTTCCAAAAATTGCATAAAAACGCCTTTTTTGGCACGTTTTTTCAAAATTTTGCCTGCTGCACAAAAAGTTTGGCCAAAATGGGGTCTTTGTAGTGATTTAGGAGAGCTCAGACAACTTTTTTTGAAAAATCGGTCTTAGAAATCGTTCCAAATTATTTGAATTGGGCAATTTGTCATAATTGCTACGTTAGTAGCAGCAAAATTTATCACTTTGTACTTAATATGGCGTGTGGGTGAATGATTTAAAAAGAAAACTCCAATTTTTTTCTTTTTTGATTAAAAAATTCACCTTTTTCTGAAAGCAAACACTGCTCCATAGATAGATATTTAAAGGCAGTCGATACCTTATGGGGCTTCACCTTGATACGAGCAGTATTGTTGACTTTTGTTAAGAAAAAGCGTTAATTGGAGCAAAGGCAAAAAATTCTTGTATCAGCGCAAGTTTTTCAGTGTTTCATCGAATTTGCAAAATTGCAAATTTCCATACTAAATTCCAATTTTTGAAGTTGCCTCACAAAATCCTGTAAATTACTGCAAATTAAAATGTCGAAACTTCCGAAATTAGCTAGTGTTAAAAATTTCGAAGTTTGCTAGTATGAAGCAAAAAGATTACACAGAGCACAATTTTTCCATTCCTTTATTTAAAAGTTGGAGCAAAAAATTGCACTGCAGGTATTACAGGGTGTTCGACGGTGATTTTGCCCAAAAAGGAATAAAAAATTAAATTTGTGTCTGATTCCAATTTTTCCCTATATTATAGGCTGCAATTTCCTATATTATCTTGATATATTTGACGTGTATTTTTGATGACCAATTTAAACTCTGAGTTGATGTAATGTACATTTTTGTATTGAAATAAATTGAAGTCAATACTTTCAGTCGCTTGATGTGACTAGCAAATTATTCACTCGACAAAACACCAATTTTGAGAAGCGTAAAGTAAATCATGATTGACAGAGTCTCAAAATGGTACTACTATTTCGAAACTCTGTCAACCGTGATGTACGCTTCATGATAGAGATTTCCTCTGCCTCAAAATTTTTCATAATTGTTTTTTTTTGTCGATTGAATAATTTGCGAGTCACATTTTAAGTTATTTAGTAAGGCATTTTTTCTTTTTTTTTTGAAAAAAAAACGTAGAAAAAGCTTACCCGAAATAAAATTGGTTTTCGCGCTAAGTCGATACTCACTTAATGTACGTTGAAATAACAGAATTGAGGTCCATTAAGTACAACAGCTTACCTTGTTTGGACTTTGCTGCCAGGGAGTTTTGAATGGGAACCTGAAAGAGCTCCTTCGCGATGAGTTCGGACTGTTCCTGCAACAAACACAAATGACCCAGTTTAATAAGGAGTTGCTTAAAAATCTCTGAAATATGCAGATTTAATTAAGAAAAACATAATAAAATACAGCATTAATTTTGTTGCTACAATTTGAGAAGAAATTCGAGCGACGTCGCAATACAAACAAAAAGACGAAGTTGACAAAAGCTAATTTACATTTCGGGAGAAAAGTTTTGGTGGCAGAAATTTTCAGCAATGTCGATTTCGCAAAAGATAATGGTTAAATCATTTAAATTCACTTCATCGATTTAGTAAGAAGAATAATCCGTACCTGAGTTTCGATCAAAACGCTTAACTAAACAAAGAGAATTATCTAATAAGTTACAATACTTTTTGGTATATATATATTTTTCAATCTAATACCAAATACACAAATTCACGGTATGTTATAAAAACAATGATCGATCTGCTCAGTATAATTATACCGCTGGTCTCAGAGTTGCATCTAATTACTGATTTCGTCATATATAGGCGGATTCAATTGCAAATTTATGATGAAAAATTACTAAAATATACAAGCAGAACTTCCTGAGAGCCTTTTAACTTTTCGGGGTAACTCCTCGGCCGTAACCTGTGTAAAAAACTGATTGCTTTATAAAAATTAAAATGATCAGCATCAGTAGAACAATGTTTTTTTTCTAATACGTCTAAATTCTGCAAAAATATTATTACGTCATCGGATTTTGTGGGAGCAAAAAACTCTATATCAAGCTTTGAATTCCTTCTCATTTCGAAAAAACGACGTTATGAGTTTCAATTTTGACGATATGTTGAGCGAATTGTTGGCGCTGCAACTTTTTAGGCAATTTTGGGAAGATTTTGAACAAAAAATTACCATTTAACCACGTGCTTTCCCCGTAACAATTATTAGTTACCGGCGCCAAAGGCGCTTTTATTACAATAATTTTAGTTTAGGGCTGGCAAGCAACCAATGGCTGTCGTAAAAATGCATCAATGGTGGAACTTTTTAATACAAAAAATGACATCCAAGGGGGGTGGTGGGGTGGTTGCACGCTACTGACAGTTGGTTAGAGAGTTCATCATAAATGTATTGTACTAACACAGGAGAGGGTTTTGCAGACCCTATGTCCGAGTTGACGTCTGACTTGGATCCCAGGGCAAAAGATTTCACCTCTCCCAGAATCCGCTTGAACATCGAGGGACGTCTCTGTATCAACAAACATTATGCTTCTTGTTGACCTTTACCTTATTAATGGAAGCTTCTAATGTATCTCATCATGCAAATGAACACCTTCATAATATATGTTTAATCATTACACAACTTTGATCATTAATCCTGCAAACTTCACAATATGACATGAAAAAAAAACTGAATAGCTTAAACTTAAAGTTGTCAAAAATTAAATGTTCTCAAATTATATTTCGAATAAGAATTTTGAAAATTTTATTGAATTTTTGGTTAAACAAATTATGTAAAATTTGAAAAATGGTTCAAAAATTGGGAAAAACTGTTTTAAGAATGACCTCTTTGTGATGTTCTTGCGCCTTTTCCAACTTGGCCTTGTTCTCCTTGTATATCTCGTGCAGTAGCAGCCCAGCATATATCTTCCCAGTGCTGAGGTTGGGGTAGACCAGCTCCGAGTTGGGGGGCACGAGGAGGTCTATCATTTTGGGGGACAGACTGGGCCACATGTTCTTGATGATGCCACGCAGCTCCTCATTCGCCTGGTTCATCTCGTCCGCTACAAAAAGAAAGTTGTCGGCTTTCATTGGTAAGCTAAGCTTGCATTCAATCATCATTTATGTGCCACAATTTCTTTTCAGAATCTTTAGAGTTTTAGTTCTAGGGTTCAGAATCTTTGTGGGATCTTTAATCTTGTCATTTTGTGGATGAGTATCCGCAGAACAGCATTTTCGGATAGCCGAAAAGTTGTTTCGTTCCCGAATCGCCGCGAATTAACGCAAAAATGGCTTGAAACGATCACTGATTGCCATGTAAAAACTGACCAAGCTGACTACCGTGACCTGTAAATTTCAATACATTTTAGCTTCCCGTGGACAAATTTGATATTCGGCTAACCGGAAACAAATTTGATTTCTGGCTACCCGGGAACGGTGCCGCGACAACTTGCAACAAGATACAACTCGCAAAAAAAGACAACTTAAAAAATCTTTTAAAAAGACAACTCGCAAAAACAGACGCAAAAAAAATCGCATAAGACCGGAAGAAAATTAAACTTCCATTTGATCTAAAGGTGAAAAAAAAAACGGTAAAACATCAAAGCCTTTGAGCCGTCAAAATTTCCACCGTATAAAGGAGTTTTACAGATCAAAGTTAATTGAAAAGGCTTCCAGCTGCAAAATTAGAACAATGATTTGATAGTTTTTAAGAGTTGCTGATATCCTTCGTTGCAATTGCTCATGTTTAGGACATTTATTGGGCTTTTCTTCGGATTTATTCCGAATCAGACAATTTTCCGTTAATTTTTGCTCCTTCCTTAATTGCTGAATGAATTTTGATACAGTGGGGTGAGCGTAACTCATTCCTAATAGAAAAAGTTTATTCTTCGACCGAATTGCTTTTTTTGCTTTCCTTTTATCGCATTGTTGAACTGATTACATCTAGCTGATCTGAAATGTAGATCTCCACCGTCCACGCTTTTTGAAATAATTGAGACATGACCGGAGCTGCTCATTCTCAGTTGTTGTTGTTGCGTAGAGAGCTTCTAGTACCAACTTCAAGTCGCATCCAGGATTAAGAGCCAGCGCAATAAATGATTTCACTTCTTTCTTAGGTCATTGTCTTTTCTGTATTTAACCGCTAGTCCTATTTCTTTTATTTTTTGCCAATTGGCCTGCGCAAAATGAAAAAGTACCCTTTTAGAGATGCTGTTGGGAATTCCGATTTGAAAGCAGAAATTGCTGCTTATACGAATTGAAAAACAATTTCTGTTGACCTTTATGAAAGGTTAAGTTGACATAACACCCGAAATACTTGTTGATATTGCCGTTGAGTGTTTTGTTGTAACAGAAAATAAACCATTGGGACGGAGTAGTTGTTTATAACATCATGCACAGTATATACTTGATAGAATAATGATGGTCAATTTTACGTCAGCGTGCCACGTTGTGTAACGCTCGAGAATTCCATGTTTGCCTCAGTGGTGAACACAAAAGCCGGTTTGAATCCCCCGGCCCCGAGTCATAAGCCAAAAAACTCTCCCTCCTCCCTTAGAGTGATTTGAAATTTGATGGAAATTGCTGTATCCCCCACTGTTTTTGGCAAACTCCAAAATCTCTTTCTCGTTGAATCGCTCTCGCAACCGACGTAAATTTGGGCATGTTTGCTGCGCACTCCTCGGAACAATATACTCGTATCTCTCCCCAATAATTGTTTTGAAATAAGTATAAAATTAAGTGATATTTAGTGAGGAATTACGGGTCTTGCTTTAGGGGTAATTAGGGAATATCTTCCAGTTTATCGCGAGTTATCGCGTTTTGCGAATTGTCGTAGTTGCTAATTTATACGAGTTGTCTTTTTTGCGAGTTGTTTTTCCTTGCGAAATTGTCGTGTGACGCCTGGGAACACGGCTCCTTGGCACGCCATCCTTCATCATGGAGAATAAATTTCAAGAAACATTACCATAGTTTAATTTACCAAAAAAATTTCCATTTAACTTTGAGACGGTCAAGTTTTTATGAAGCGTCACTTGCCATAAACAAATGTACAGAAAAATTGAAAACACAACGACCACAAAACGAAAGTTAAGCGTTTCGGTAAAATATTCGGCAAACTAGGATAACACAAGCTTCAAGTCATTTAGACAATTTTGAGGTCCTTAACTTATGTAATAAAAGCAGTCAGGTTTTAGATTTGCTAGGATGTTGAATGTTTTGAAAAGTTACTAACGGAGTATTGCCAAAAATTAGACATTCAGTAAAGGTGACATGTCGTAAGCCAATCAGAATCGAGATAAAAAACAAACGTACAAAATATATTTTTTTCTCATTTCTTATGGGCTTACAACGTGTCTTTTTTGCTAGGTAACCGTTTCCACTCACCATAAGGCAGCTTTATTCTGAGCGAAGTGCGAATGAGTGCGAAGAGAGTAGTGGTGAAGTGGACTCTGTTCTCTGAGTCGAGAGGCATGTTCATCTTAATCAGCCTCTGATAGGCCAGTTTGTAAGGACACTTCCTGCCGAAGCCGACTGGGGGAGAGAGGGTGCGCAGCATCTCATACATGTCTGAGTAGGTTATGTAGCCACATCCACAAGGGTCGTAGTCCCCCCACACTCGCAGGAATTCGTCCAAGTGATGCGCCCCCAGAATACTCTTATCCCTGGTCAAGTAGTCGAAGTTATCCATGATAACGGCCACGAACAAATTCAACATCTAAAAAGAGAATAAACCGTTTGTAGAATAGAAAAAGTTAAATTATATTTTATTGAGTAGCTACAGAGGGGAAAGTACTGAGGGAAAGGAAACAAACATGAAAACGACAATGAAGTGAAGAGATGACATTCGACATTCAAACAAACAAGTACACATTCACATGACAAAACAAGCCATGCAGCAAACTTTTATGATCGTTTTTTATCATTTTTGTTTAAAAAAATTATCACTATGAAATTAGGAATTTAAATTTTCGAAAACTTTTGAAGCGTAATTGCTACCTTAGGTTATAGTTAGTGTTACTTACAGCAAAAAAAAGATTTGTTTTTTGTTTTATTTTAAAATTTTCCCAGCTTAGTTTACAGTTTAGATACATTTAATAGTAGATAGTTTCAATGTTAGTATGTTAAACAGTTACCCAATACACAAACCACAAACAGTATCGACGCCACAAAGCTCCGCCTCGCACCTGATTTGCAAGCCAGATGAAATTATGACAGACACGAAATAACCCAAATTGAAAGAGCCCGCTGCTTATACGCAGTCAATACCAAGTTATCGCCAATCCCGAAATCTGTTCTCAAGAATAATTTCTCGAGAATTTCTTTGAAAACTATTTTTTTTTCAAACCATGCTCGGTGATACTTGGTTAAACGTTAGAAAGTAGAGCCAAAACGTCCAAAAAAATGCAAACGTTGCATTACTTTTCTGATTAGTTGCAAAAAAAATCTTATTTTAGATTGGTCAATTTGTGGGTATTGGCTCATGATTTGGTATTAACTGTTTGCACTGTATGAAGACGAGGAGAGAATGAAACAAAAACGAGAACGAAAGAAGAAACTGAAAAGAAAAAGAGACAGAAGAACAGAAATACACTGACAGATGAGTAAGATTAACTCACGAGTGAGAAGAAACAAGACACCGACTTCTTATTCGGTTCTTAACTTAAACTAAGTTGGCCCACTTAACTGTAATACCCCTTTTTGATGAGCCCCTACTTCTTTTGTTTTTTTTCTCCTTATCAATTTCCATTCAAAAATGTCAGGTTTTTCTTTCAAATAATCACAAATGATTTACTGAACAAGCTTTGAGCAGTCAAGTTTTTCTTTTCGTTGTAACCAGGGGCTCATGCCAACTTTTTTATATATTTCACGGAATGCATTGTCCGTGAATGAGAATTGGGTGGGGGGGGTAGTTAAAGGGTGAGGGGTTGGGGGGGGGGGGGGGGTCTTACCAGGAAGGAGGATAGGAATACGAAAGTGGTAAAGTATCCTATGGATAGGGCACTGCCACAGGCGAAGCTGCCCTTGCCGGAGGTTATGTCACAGGGGGCGCCAGAGTCACAGGCCAGCATAATCATCTGCCAGCTCTCCCCAGTAGCGCATCTGTCCACAGCCACCAACCAGTTATTAGTCATACTCATACTCATTACTCTTCATTCATTACTCAAGTCCTTTTTGATAGTCTCACTTTTATAATGAGAAAAAACTATTACTAACTAGGATAACCGGTTGCGAATCAGAAGCCGAATTTTTACCAATATGGCGTTATTATGATACTACACTTGACTCCCGCTCTCTTTGATCGGCTGGAAAAAACGGACCTTACGCCATAATTCCCTTTCTTAACCCTAGGGGATGGCCGGAAGAATAATATGGCCTTCAACTAAATTTACTGTTTTTTTTTTCGTTTTCGTTGTTTTAATTAAGATCTCATCATTAAAACAAGGGTAGCCAGAGTGATCCGACCAGATAATTACAGCAAAAAATGAAATGAAAAAATTATAATTGTAAACTTTTTCTTTCCACTTTTTCGTCCAAATTTTGTGCTGTTTTCTTGGTGAGTTTTAATCAATTTAAATCGGCTCCAATCCAGATAATAGTGTTCTACAACGATTCAAAAGTCCTCCCGATGACAAATTGGAAGTGAGTGACTTATTGAAGTAGCTTTCCAATCTTTTACTGGTAATCACTCTGATGATTACAAAAATATTGGGAAAAGTCCTTGACAACAGCTAGACTCACCGAACTGATCAATTTACAAACGAAGTGATTTAAATATCCGATTAGAAATTTTTTGTGGCACCTGATTGCGCGAACGACAAACAAAACTTAGGCTATAATTACTCTAACCCTTTGGACAGAACAAAAAGAACGTTGACAGCATTTGATACTAGCTAATGATTTTTCAAATGCCTGCCGCTACCTGATCCAGCTACTTGATATAATTTTACTCCAAAATTTGTGAACCACGAAAAACAGACAATTTTTAGGCTCAACATTTTTTGAGCCTAAGTTAGCTAAATAACTTTTTTTGTGTCCATGCCAACGAATTTTACAACGCTGAATTGAATAATAAATTTTCTTTCCTCAGAAGGAAACTGAAACTGAGCTGTTAACAGCAAGAAGGACAAGCAACAAAAGTGAGGGGAAAAAAGTTCAAGAGTGCTGAAAAGCAGTTTCAAAACAAAATTTTAGGAGGATTAAGAAAAAATATAGCTGTGAAAACTAAGTCATCTGCAAGAAAAAGAGAGAAAAATTATTTAACTGCTTCTCCGAGCAATCAAAATATACAAACTACTCCCCAATGTTTCTGTCCTAAATTTTAGCTAGTCTTAATTTTTTTAATAAAACTCAAGCCTCAACCAACCCTGAATTTAAGTAATTAAGTAATGTTGTGACATAAGAAAATTGAAAAGGAACTCTGGTTGACAAGGATGAGCTATTTTGTCAGATTTTTGCGTATCTTATCTTGCAAAATCTTGCGAGATTCTTGCATAACCTCTTGCAAGATACATCATTTGCATTTACGACTTATGTATTTTGTGAGTAGCTCGCAGCATAATCAAACCAGCCAAAATTATGTCATTTGTGTAGAAGTTTGCTTGATTTTTGTAACTTTTACAAAACTTTTACATTGATTTTATGTATAAATAGGTTTAGGCCGAGATTGTTCACTTGATCCTTGAATTGATCAAACTTCAATTTGTGTACTTAAGTCCAAGTTTTAAAATAAATTCAGAGTAAAATCTAAAAAACTCTTTTTCCAGTTCGTATGGCAGGTTTAGAGTAGCCATCCGGGCTAATAATGTCTCTAAGAATGTCAATGCAGCCTCCTGGTATTCAAATTCTATCTGAGATAAGACATTCGCAATATATGACAGAGATGAGATGGGAAAACGACTGAAATAGGATACCAATCAACGATTATTTTACAGTGAGGGGGTTATTACAATATAACAGGTGAGGCATTATTTGAATCTTGAAGGATCGCAAGTCATTAAATGAGTTAAACCGACATGGCCTGAATTGTGCACAAGCATGGAGCTTAGGCGTCAATCACTTTTTCAAAATGGTGAATTTGACAACTCAGTTAATGTGCTTTTCAGATACTTATCAAGAGCAGTCTTTTAAATTAAAGCATGTCATTTTTTTGTGCGCGGAAGTAAAATAACGGGTTTTTATCAAAGTCATCATTTTTTATAAACTTATTCCAATCGTTCACAAAAATAAGATGAAAAATTTCAAAAATAGGATAAAGTTTAGGATTAAAATACCAAAAGAGGTTAATGTGTATAAATAACTTTATCTACAGGGAATGGCTGGTCCATCTACAATGCAGGGAAAATTAGCTCTATATTAAACAACGATGATGCCATCAAACGCATGTCAAGAGGTCAAAGGTCACGGTAAAAAGGTCAAGGTCAATCTAGTGTGACAAGGGATAGTCGGCAGTCAAGGTTGGCAATTCGGTTGCAGATGCAATATTCGTGGGCAAAGGAATTCGAAGTGTTTCAGGGATGGGGCGAAATAATGACTTCCTTCAAATGACAATAGCCTTTTTTCTGGACTTCTTGAACACATCTATGTTGATTTTCATTAATTGTTTTTCCTTGCAGGACTAGCTCAAATTGATTTCAGGTTTTTTTCACGCTGATGTCATAATCTTCACATACTTATCGAGAAAGTCTAAGTACTTTGTCGTCTCTTTTCGGGTCGCTTTTCGAAGGAGTCGGGTCGATACATCCATAAGGGGGAAGATGGTTGTCGCATGTAAGCAATCTGGGGATGTTAAACGGGGTATTTTGGGAGGGGTGTGACTCACCAAAAAAGAGGACAAGAATACGAAAGAAGTGAAGTAGGCGATGGCGGCGAACGAGCCGCACTCCACGACTGGGTCGCCCGGATCCAGAGTCCGCATGTCGCTCGCGGAGTTCTGCGACACCTGATGATTCGATGATGAAGAGGAGGCAGAGGAGAAGGCGGCGGAGGGGGTGTGTGCGAAATGCGCCTTGGAGGAGGCGGGATCGCACACTTGTGGATATGCACAACTTAGCATGATTAGTTGCCACGATTCACCCGTGGAGCAACTAACCCAGCACACATAACATCGTCACAAATTGGTCAGAAACTAATCGGACATTTTTACTCAATACCATTTAACCAATTTAATTACTCTCAATTTAGCGCAATAAGCAGAAGTACATTGTAAAAAACATCAAAATAATAACTTTTTTGTACGTTTTAAGAGATAACTACAACGCTCGGTTATCACAAGTCGCTTATTCAGTACTTAATTCGTCTTAATACATAAACTAACTTAAAGTATTGGTTATTGATTGAATAAGGGAGAAAGTATTTGTGGTAGTCTCACCGGAATAGAACTAGCCAGGCGGCCCCGAAGTTGCGGAAGTTGTTGTTCCTGGTGATCTGGGAGGCGGAGTCCAGGGCGATGTTGCCGAAGAGCTGCATGCCGATGATGGCGTAGATGAAGAACAGCATCACAATTAGAAGACACACATACGGCAGCGCCTACACACAATCACAAAAAAATCAGAAATGCTAAAAAGAAATATGTGATTCTTTTGGCCAAGAAAATTACTAAAAAGCCTAGAAACACATTAGAAATTATAACATAGTTTTTACGACTACGTGAAACAAAAAACCTGTCAAATGACCTGTCTCAAAATGAAAAGTTTGACAATGACCGAACCGTAAAAAGCCATTATTTTTAGGTTTTTTTCCCAATCGGTCATATATAGTCACATAACGCATGAAACAGTCTTGTAAACAGGCGCGGGTCTAGGATTTTTTCGAGGGAGAGAGGGCGTAGAAAAGAGGGTATTTGAAATTTGTTTGAAAAATTGTCGACCCTTTTAAGGTGTACCAAATTAAATAAATTAATTTGCTGAGCTCTCCCAAAACACTATGAAGACTCTATTTTGACCAATATATCTGTGCGCCACAGGCCAATTTAAGAAAAAAAATGAGCGAAAACAGGCGCTTTTTCTCTTTCTGAAAATTAGTATGTATTGGTGCCTTTAGAAAAACTTTAAGGTCGGGCACCCAAAAAAATACTACAAAAAGAGGAAACCTTTGGGTGGCCAGGGAGCTGAACCCTTCAGAGGGGAAAATCCGCTCACCCCCTTCCATCCCCATCCCCCCCCCCCCACCAATCCGCTGTTGCTGATTTGAGAATTTGGCTCAAGAGTTAATATTGGGATAATAATTATGACAAATTTGGAGGTGGAAAATTGCAACCGATCAAATTTTTTTGTTCCTGAAATATTAGTCATCTAAAAGTTGAGCTTTTGCGTTCAAGTTTAGTTTTGCAAAGTTTTAACATTTCTGAAGTGCATGCGTAGGAGAGTCCACTGGCTATTTCAAGGCTCGTCATGCTATCATGTAACATACCATATTGTGTAGGACGTACCATTGCCAGCCATCATTTTAAACATGAAATGTCAAGACAGTGCTTTTCAAGTCATAAACATAAATATGCTCTACGCAAGCTGCAACCACTGAAAAAACTACTCTTGCTGTGATTTGAGTGTCTCTTATTTTCATTCCAGGATGCGAGACGAAAGTATCCATGCATTATTGATTTACGGAGTTACCAATGCAAAATTATCTCTTAAGTGGGGCGCAGATGTTGCATGGAGAAAGTGGAAAAATAGCTTCTCGACAAAAAACTACAGAATTATCAAAGAAATAGGAAATAAGGCATCAAATAAGAAAAACAGCTGAATAAATATTAACGCAGTTTTGGATCGCACGAAGCGTTTAAAATGCTCATCTAAAAATTTAGTGCTGAAAAAAAGGCACTTGCTAAAAATTGCGGAAGCTATGTTATTTTTAGATTCATTTGCAAAATTTTGCAAGAAGAGCTTTATGTCATGATTTATTTCAATTGTATAATCCCTCTAATATGTTTAACTTGAAAAAATAAGAAAACAAACTGTACATAATTAAAGACGGCAAACATTAGAAATTATTTTTTTTTAGTGTTTCGCTGCAAGCTCTAATTTTTGGCCGCCTAAAAAAGTTGTAACAAGACTGCTTGTATCAAATTGAAGCTTTGGATGTCCGACTGCTATTTGAACATCTATGAAATAGTTATTATTTTAAATTAATTTTTTTTATAGAAAACAATGAAAAAATGGTCCATGTTTTTTGTTATACGTTTATTTTTTTACCTGTAAAGTATGTAAAGTACAAAAAGATGCATTAAGTGCCTAATACCGCAGTAGTCAGGACAAGTAGCTTTGCTCATATCAACATGGAGCTATTTCTGAGACAGATTAAGACTTCGATTACGCATTAATAGCACAAAATAAATCATCTGTTAATTAAGCCAAATTGACAATTTTCACACCACCATCTTTTCACAAAAATCATGAATAGAATCTACTTGAAATCCTTTTAAATAGAAAGTACTCTTAAATTTGAAATGGAAATTAAAAAGTAGAAATTTGTTTTTTTTTTAAAAAAAAACACAACCAGCACAAGAAATCACTTCTAAGACGGAACGAAATCAACGGCTTCATAACGGTTTTTTTGAATACTTCTGGGGCTTCTCATCATTCTAATATCATTTCAATTAGAAATTTTTCTGACAAAAAAAAACAGAGAGCTCATAAGCCTTATAGAAATTGGAAAATTTTTAGTCAAGCATTTTTTAGAGTTTTGTTTCTTCTGTTCAAGTTCTAATATATTTCGACAACAATGATTTTGAACTACGTATAAAATTTCCTCACCTCGAAAATTGGAGAAAAAAAAATTTTCGGCAATCGAAATAGTAGTTTTCAAAAATAGTTTTTAACTCTAACTTCAACTGCTTAAAATCAAATGTGAAAACATAGCGTTCTAACTGCTATCGTTCTGGGAGGCTAAAAGTTACTATTTTGGCCATGTTCTGGAATACTTTGGGTACGCGTTTATCTATGATGATGAAAGTGTAAGCGCAAATTAGTTCAGCGTAGCGAGTTATCCTGAGCTCAATATCTTTTTAAGTTGACTTGAGGTCAACTACTTGGTCATAACTATTACCCTTAAAACTCAAAATGATAGGACCTATTATTATTTTTTGACTGTTAACAACAAAACATACAAAGTTTAAAAAAAGTTGCCAATTTTATTCTAGAAATTTTCTACCTATTTCCGGCTATTATTATTTAATTATCAACGACTAATTTAAAAGACAAAAGAACAAAGACACTGATTGCTAAATGAAATTTAATAAGATTTTTTTATTGAAAAATTGGAAAATTTTGAATAAAAACAGTGAAGGTTACATTTGGTGCTAATTGCAGAGAAACTGATTCCTCTATTACAAAAACGATCCGGTCTAGCCCTTTTTGACGGCATTTTTAAGTATAATTTGAAAGCTATAGTTGTCCTGAGCTTAAATTTGAAACGATATTTTACCTGTGATCATTTTTGATAAAGTTATGGGGGTTTAAAGATTGCCATTTTGTCCAATTTGGGACAATAAACGCGCGATATATTTCGCGCTATTAACGGGTAAGCGAGATTTAATCCGTCTTAGAAATCGTTCCACATTAGTTCAAGGGAGCTTAAATGCCAGAATTGATTTGTTAATAGGAGCAAAATCTATCACTTGTGAGGGGATTTTATCACAAAAAATCTCCAATTTTTTTTTAATTTTTAAAATATATTTTTTTACATTTAAATTTTTCATAGAATTACTGCCCCATAGACCTTAAAAGGCAACCGGAACATTCAGGACTTCGCCCTGATACGAGCAGTCTTGTTTCAATTTTCGCGGCAATTTGCGTCCAGTCTTCACAACATTAAATCATGAATCAAATGATAACTAAAAATTTGAAGTACCTAGCGACAACAAAAACGAGACCTATAAAACATATCCCATCCCTTTAAATAAATAATTCAACGATTATAAAGGCAAATTTTGCACTTTGTAACGAATTTCACCCGCTATGTTTACTTTTGCACCTAAACGAATCGCCCTTGCGCGCGCGATAGGGGGGATATTTAACAAGATCCCAAAATAGAATACTTATCACAGTCAAAAACTGCCCCATTAAATACTCAACTGTAGTCTTAAATTAGTCTGTCTTGTCTGGAGGAATCCCTCATGCGCGAAAAACCGAGTACGCAGAAGTTTTATCAACCAATCACAGCTCATAATAAAAAATTCGAACGAATTAAACAATACATTCAGCCAGTTTTGGGCAATTTAAAGGGCGCTGATTGGTTAAGTGTTTTCACGCATTCGGTCCTTCGCGCAAGAGAATAGCCCCTGTCTTGTGTTTTTAGTCTGACCTTGAAGCTCTGTATGAATGTCCAGAGGAGGATGCGGATGGTGTATCCCTGGCGCAGCAGCTTGATCAGTCTAGCCGCTCGGAACAATCTGAGCACGGCTAAGTTCGGCCAAGTAGTCAAATTAAAACGCTCCTAGAAAACAGCCATCATGCAACACATATATGCTATTATACGCAAAGTGCACATACACTGTTATATTTAGTTTAAGTTAATTGATCAATTTAACTGGAAGTTGCAAAATATTCGGTTTTAAAAAATTAAAACGAAATAAAATGTGAAAATTTTGAAAGTTCAGAAAAGTTTCGAACATTTTTAAACAAAATTCAGGATTTCTGCTGCTAAAATTTTAAGACTCAGTCATTAACTCGATCAAAATCGATTTTTTTCTGCATTTGATCAAACATTCTGCAACTTTTTAGAGGACAATTATATCATAACCTTGAAGCTCTGTTAAGATAAAGTGCATTAAGAAATCAATACAATCTAAGTTTTAACATTTTCATTTCTTCGGCTTTTTTTTTTACAAGTGGTTGCATTAAATAACAGGCCAATATCATCACAACATGCGTGTTTGACAAGCTGAAAGAAATGGTGAAATAAAAACACTCGGTTAGAGAAAGAACAAACAAAAATGTCACTTGATATGCCTCAAGTATGACATCTAAGATCTTTATTCCGACATTTTCGAGTAGTTGAACCAAAAAATATGCTTTAAAAATTTGAACTCTTAGATCTAAGTATCTAATTCAGCGTAGGTTGTTTACTAATAAACTTAACAATGGATAATGGATGCATTCTCTTGCCAACAATTAAAGCATGGTCCGAGTTTTTTTTTCATTAAAGGGAAACATAATTTTTAAATATTTTTTAAAATGTTTTATGTTATATATAGAGTTTTAATTCAGTTGCTGGAAACATACAAAATACGGTGCGTGCATATATCGGCTCTTCAAGTGCTTTTAGACATCGAGCTAATTTTTACATCTAGCAATCATGCTGTGTTGGTAAAGTTCAGGGCTGCGACAACTAAACAAAGGTCAACCGAGGTCAAAATCAAATGCAGCAACATTTGAACCTAAGTTACAATGCGAGCAAGGCAACAGCAAGAAGAACGGAAGATCTATGCGAATGCAGCCAAATTAGTGCTCGGTAAAATGCTTCCAAACAGTTGAGATTTACGCAGGCATGCTACGACATTTTCAGAGTAATTTCCAGGAACAAAACACTTCTTAGAACCATCAATATTCAAATAGTCTTCGTTACATGGCAAAACGAGCTTCCGTAATAACGACCCAGAGAACTAGTTGCATTTTTCCACCTCGGTCTTTGATCACGTGGTTAATTTTGATCACGTGACAATTGAGGTACCTTGAAACTCTGGACAAACGTCCACAACAGAATACGAATTGTATATCCCTGACGAAGTAGTTTGATGAGCCTTGCCGCTCGGAACAATCGGAGCACCGCTAGGTTGGGGATACCCTTGAGTTGGTGGGCGGCCCCGTGGCCCCCTCCGCCCCCACCCGAGAAGGCTGATACTGATGGCAAGTTACCGCCCCCACCTGCTACGCCTGGGGCGAGGGAGGCGTCAGGAGTGGTGGCCATTACTGCCGCAACTAGTCCATCATTCTGAACATAGAGGTCAAAAATAGGTCACTAAAGGTCGCAAAAGTTTAAAAATAGGTCAATGAATGTAATGTTTTCTACTTGAACACTTCAGAATTTGTGGATAAAAGGGAAATAAACGGCAAAGATCAGGCATTAAGGGTGAACAGTCTGTTAAAAATAGGTTTCCGAAACAACGCGATGTTGGGAGCCATTTGTTGTTTCTTCCTGGGACTAAGACTGCTCTGCTAAACGGAAAGTTCTCTACTTAGTTTCTCTACTGGGTACTTCTAGACAATAAGCATAACATCAACTGGAAAACAAGACCTTGTAATTTTTTGTGACATTGAAATATCAAAGAATCGGCCAAAACTTCTGCTTATATTTGAATAAATCAAAGTAACTTTTGAATAACTCAATTTCGACCCAAGTTACCACTAAAAACTGCATATATTTCAAATATCATCATGACTGGATACAAAATCGAAAAACGTTTTTAAAAAGATAAGGTCAAAAGGTCAAATGGACATTGAACTCTACTTTCGTACACAGTTGACTTTGGCATTGTATACGGAAGGAGAGGCAAAAAGCGGCACAGAATATAGCATTCGACTCACTATATGCACAATTTTGTGCTCAATTTACACGGGGAATCTCTCGTGCGCAAAGGACCGAATGCCCAAAACTTTTGTCAGCCAATCAAAATTGATTGTTCGAAAATTCGAAGGAAATAAGCGATATGTTCAGTCCATGTGGGAAAGCTTAAAGAACATTGATTGGTTGAAAATGTTTGCGCATTCGGTCCATCGCGCATGAGAATAGCCCCCAATTTACACATCATTGGCAACTCCAGATTGAAATTAAAACTGAAGCCACTGGTCACGGGAAATTCCAACACCCAAAGGTTGCTGGTTTGTCAAAATTACGAATTTTAGACGAATTAAAATTTTTGCCTCGAGCGCAGATGTTGAAAAACAAAACAATGAGTTTTTCTTTGAACATCGAAACATAATACGAGAGCTTATAGCCAGAAGTCAAACTCATCGGCAAACCAGAAACTAATCTTGAGTAGTTTATACTATCACTCTCCAAGATAAGTGTGCTGCTATCAGATTTGTGGCGACAATCTTTTTCTCCAGTTGATAAAAAATAACTGCGGTGAAAAAACAATTGAGGTTCCCGTGACCTGGTTACTGTGCTTGCACTGGTATAAAACTGGTACATTGAAATTACGTGGGTTAGCATCATGGGCGCCGTAGATAGTTTGGCTAATTGCTGCACCTGAAATGAAAGTGTCAAAAGGACCAAGGTCAAATGTCAAGTTCTATTTGTTCATCTAAACCTGCACTTATTATAGCTAGGTCGTTGTAGACGCTTCTAAATTGGTATCATGTTTAATGACGTCATTGTTATTAATCGTAGATAAAGTCAACAAACGTGGGTTGATAAACAAAACAAATGACTAATTCTTATTCAAATAATTTTTCTTCCGCCCCTTTTTAGGAAAAATCAGGACGTCTAATTCACTTTTTATCCCTTTTTCGCTGAAATTTGTAACTTTAACGTTAATTTTACAAGCAGTGCATGTTTTTATGACCCATTTTTGGGTTTACTGAGCCCAAAATGCCCTCGTTGGGCGGGCTAAAAGAGGCGCGGTTAGTGCTATGTTAATATGTGTTATGACCATAAACTGGTCAGGGAAAAAGGCAAATCAAGTCAGATAAAATTGGCTCCTTTTCTCATTTTCTCAATCTTTTTCACGTTTTTTTTTCAAATAAAGAATGAGTTGGGAGCCACGCAAACAAACGTTATAGAGAGAGAGAGACGAAAGGCAAACACGCGTTAGATTAAATCAAGTGATGGTCAAATGGTAGAAAAATAGTCGCAATTGAAGGAGGCCGGGCAAAAAGCCGACGGATATCTAGCCGACAAGCTGAAAAAATGTCAGATTGATATTGAATCGATTCATATCTAAATTTGTGACGAGACGTTTTTTTTGGCGTCGAGTTTTCTTGAAGTTTTTTCAAAACCTTGAGTTCATTAGAAATTTTTCTTGAAGTCTTTTTGTTGTCGTATAGATGAATCTTCGGCTTTTTGCCCGCAACCGTGTTTTCAACTTACAACCGTGGTCTCCTAAAATGAACCACAACCGTTTGGAATTAAACCCGCTTGAACAAATTCTTTTAAGGGTTAACTCCAAGATCCAACATGTCTGTTCAGCAAGTGTTGCGTTTACATAATATATAAAATGGATATGTTAAAAGATGAAATGCATTAGGTTAATGGGTCAATAAAATGACGTCATAGATTTGAAGATTAAAAAATGAAAGTGAACTTACCCCCAGATTGTTCTGTATTTCTGTGAAGAGCACGTCAGCTATGCTTCCGACTACTGTGATGAAATCAAACAGGTTCCAGTAGTCGCGGAAGTAGTTCTGAAAAATGATGACCTTTTCATGACCTTTTTCTTCAACGTCGACTCAGCTCACTTAAGGGATCTACGTAACAATTGCACCCTTCCCCTTTCAAGAGGGGGGGGGGGCAATTGTTAAGTATAACGAGTTGTCGAATTTTCGACCAATCAGATTGCAGCAAAATTCGAATTTTACATTAAACACTCTAGTGCTTTATTACTGTTTTATTTACAGGGGTGGCAATTCTTTAGTGGATACAAAAGGGAGGGCGATTGTTAGATGGATCCCACTTTAGTCAAGTTCGTCCAGTTATATTTGCAAAAAAATCAAGCACCTGGCTCTGGCATTCCATGTTTTAAAATATCAAATCTGCTCGAGGCATGCCTTGTGACTCTTTGTTCACTCAAGTTAATGATTTGAAACTCATCAAATAAATCGCTATGAAACAAAACGAAATGGAACTCAATAAAAGGTCACAATTTTGAGGTTCAAAAATCATTTATGGTTTCTTATGTGAAAAAAAAAATTGCGTCCTTTCCCCCGTTTTTTTTCTAAGTAACCATACTAAAAAGAGTTAATTGTTGTGATTGCTTTTTTTTTCAATTACTTGTTTCAACACGTCGTCTATGATCTTGACAAGTTCATAGCGACCTTTTTCGGAGTGAGCGAATTCAGTGTTATTGCATTTAGTTAGAAATAGAACACATTTTAATTGAACTCTATTCTTTACTTTCTTATTTTATTTTAATCTTAATTAGTTTGAACAATAGTACATTTTTAGAGCGCAATCATTTTAAAATAAATCTGGCATGAGGAGACTTCCCCCATTCTGGCAAATTCACACGATCGACCCCTACCTATTGAGAAGACTGGAGTGATATGTTTCAATTGACAGTAATAGCCACAGAAAATATATATGAGGTAAAATCTGCTCGAGGCATGCATTTTAACTCCTTATTCAATTATGCTAATGATTTGAAGCTCAACAAACAAATCGCAACAGAACAAAATTTTTTTAGAATGTCAACAATTTTGAGGTTCATTAAATCATTCATTATTTCATATGTGGGAAAAACTTGAGACGTTTCCCTCGTTTTTTTAAAAACCCACACCAAAGTGATGTTTAGTCAGTTACTCACCCGCATTTTTTTTTCAAATTTGTTTGCAAAAGTTTTGATTTCCAAAATAGCGTAAACAAACTCCAAAAACTCCAAAAGTGGTGTAACTCAACCGCAACATCTGGTAACAATATAACCAATTTGACCTTTGACCCCTGTTGACTTACCCTCCCGAGAGCGATGATCTTCATAATAGCTTCAATTGTGAACAGAAACGTGAATGCCATGTTGAGGTATCTCAGAATGTTCTCGTAAGTGGGCGGCATGTCATTGAACTTCATCATGAGCACCAGAGTGTTGAGCACAATGAGGGTCATGATCATGTACTCGAACACACTGGACATGACCACCTTCCACACTTTGTAGCTGAAACTGTTCTTGTCCGATGGCATGTACCTCTCCAGTGGCTTCGCATTGATGCAGAACTCAATGCATGATTTCTAGCACAAAAGAACAACGTGTCAAATTGTTAAGAATGTTGTTATGCTTGTATCGATATGTTCTTTATTATCTATATCACGATCACCTATCTCACTTATTTCTAAGAAAAGCCTTCCCCGTATACGTAATATTTTCAGTATTACAGCAAACTCAACGTTTTCCTTGCAGTTTAAGCAAGAAAAATGAAAAACAAAGGAGAAATTTCAAACATTCTCGTTGCATTGGCTTTTTTAATCAATAATTATGAATAAAAAAGGATCCTCAAAACTTTTAAATAAAACATCTAGTTTGGTTTCTTTTTCTGTGCTGCTCAGTGTGGGTGGTACCTGGTTCTTGTCGATCTCCCCGTCCCCCAACTCCTGCTCGCCTTGTTCCTGGAAGGTGATGATGATCAAGGCCACGAAGATGTTGACGAAGAAGAAGGGGAAGACGATGAAGAAGACGACGTAGAAGATGGCCATCTCCATGCGGAACCAGGGGATGGGACCCTCGTCCTCGAATGTAGAGTCCATCGAATTATGCAGGATGCTGCAACACGAACAAAAACAAAAATTAAATAACATCTTAACGCTATTTGATCCGTGTGATTAACCGAGAAAGTTTGTCAGTTTTACTGCAAAAATTGCGAGTTTGTTAGGATGAACATCGCAGAATATGTAAAACATTGGCCCTGAAAAAAAAACTTTTATAATAGCTGTTATTATGGGGGGAAAAAATTTCAGGTTGTACTTTATACTTTGAAAAGATCATTCGGTAGACCCCAACATTTATATGGTTTTATAAATCTTCATGACTTCATGTACATTTTTCCAACTGGAATCTAGCGATAACTGAGACCCCTCTGAACGGACCTGTTGGTTCAATGGGGCTCTCCTCGGCAGTAATTTTTGCCGTGGTTTGTAAATATATTTATCTAACTACCCACAATTGAACTTTTTTTATTAATGATAATATTTTTATTTTAAGATTGACGCCTTCTTTTTTATTTAATGATAACATTATTATAATAAGATTGACAACTTGTTTTTTTCTAATTACTAGTGTTTTAGAACAACTAGTGTTTAGTGTTTTCTTTTCTAATTACTAGTGTTCTATTAAGTAGTGTCCTTTCAGTACTCACTCTGGCCATCCTTCTCCGGTGGTGACAGTGAAGAGGGTGAGGAAGGCCTCGAGGACGTTGTCGTAGTTGAACTGGTACTTCTTCCACACCCTCGCCTCCTCCACCACTTCCCCCGTGTTCGTGTCATACACCAAGTACTTGCCCCTACAAAAGAAGAACAACTTGTTAGAGGATGTGAATGTCCTCATTTCAGCTAAAAGGGAATCATAGGAAAAGTCTGATCTTCATACCACCTGCTGCAAATTTTGAGGCAAAGTATATTTGCTTGTCCCATTGTTCTAGGGTACAATCAATATCATATACGCCAGTGAACTCTGAGTAAATTCTGCCAGTTGTGGTATTAGGTGTTCTTGTTGATAACAAGCGATACAAAAAGGTCAAATCATTGAAAGATATGAGAGGTCAGTTTGCATTCTGTTTTTCAATGAGAAATATTTAAAATATTCTAGAACTCGTCACCATAATCTGTCACAAAAAAAAAACATACGAAAACTCTTATCTGCTGACATAAAAATTTTAAAAACTTCTATTTGTACTTTTAGAATGTCTGTATGATACAAAGGGTACAATTTCGTTGAGAGTGACTGAAGATGACTGCCTACTCACTTGCACTGCAGTTCTGTTCTCTTCGACAGGTCTGTGCAGTAGAAGAACTTGCCCTTGAACAGTTGGACTGCAATGACAGAGAAGATGAAGTGGAACAGCAAATACACCACCAGGATGTTGAACACATTCTTCAATGACGTCAGCACACAGTCGAACACCGACTGAAACACACACACGCACGCACATATATTAACAAAGTGAACTCATTAGATTTCAGCGTACGTCTCAAACCCAACACAGGTGTCGAATAAAGTTGAACGGTAGAGAAAATTGACCATACTTTTTTTTTAAAATTAAAAAAAACTTCATCTCAAACAATCTGCATCCTCATTTAAAATTATTCAAAATTGAAAGCACTCTATTCAAATTACTGAATTCATCGAATGTTTTCCGTTTTCATATAGTTCAGATTTAAATACAAAAAAGTTGAATCGGAATAATTATCAGCTTTTTTTAAGCAGTAACTTCAAAAGATTGATGAGCTGTGACATACCTTCAGCTTTGGTACCCTGTTGATAGTCTTCAGAGGCCTCAACACCCTCAGCACCCGCAGACTCTTCACAGTGCCCGCCGCCCCTCCCCCTCCGTCGCCAGTGTTACTGATGACAAAACTAGCAATGGCGCAGCCCACCACCACAGCGTCGATCACATTCCAGATGTCCCTGCAGTAGGACCCTGGATGGAACAGGAACCCTAGATCTATGATCTTCACAAACAGCTCAAAAGTGAATATAGTCGTGAAGCAGTAATCCAGGTATGTTAGGATCTCATTTCGAAGACTGGAATCGGTGACCGGGTCCTCCGCGGCCAGAGCCAGGGAACTGAGTAAAATGACAATCATGATGCCCATTTCGAAGTAATACAGATTGGCGATCCAGTGACACGCCCTTCTGATCGGGTTTGTGGGGGTGCAGATGAAACAGGCGTTGTAGGGTAGCATGGGCTTGGGTCCACTTTCGTTTTCTTCTTCTGTCACTAAGTGAGGAACGTTAGCACCTGAAGCCACAATGATTACCATGACCATTCAACTCAACTTTTTTGCAAACAACAAGCAAAAAGCTATACTTTGGCAAAAAAAATTACGAAAAAAAACAATAATTTGAATTCAAAAACTTTTGCAATATCTCAAAGAATGTTTAATTCCTCTAAGTTAAAATTTAGATATACTCTGATCGCTTGATAGATTTAGATGTTATGTCTATTTGCTACCAAAAAATGTCGATTACTTTCATTTAGATTTTTGAGCACGAAAAAGATTCGCATGGTACCTGATTGATACCTAGCCACGTCTTTGTTGTGATATTAATGTGAATCATTGAAACTATGCTTAGATGTTATTTCGAGTGTCTGATTCTTTAGAGAGACCTTGTCCCGGTTTCATGTGGTTGGGCATGTCTATCCCATTGGCGGCCAACTCTGCCTCGTTCGCTGCCTCCAGGGCCTTCCTCTCCTCCTCCTTCCTTTCCTCCTCCTCTTTCGTCATCTGCTGCGCCGTTGCCAAGTTATCCACCTACAGAAGAACGACACACAATAATGTATTAAGAAATAGTCGCAGATTTTAATTTTATTCCTCCATACCCTTATCTATACTTTTGATGAATTTCACATTTCACATACAAAGTATTTAAGAAAATCCGATTCACCATCTTCATGGCAAATTGTTCTTGAAAAATTTTAGGAATTTTTAAAAAATGATTTTTGAAATAAATCTAATGCTGCAGTAGTGAGCCCTCTTTTGGCATCTATAACAGCCTTCTAAGTTTTTTTTTCAGTTTGATAATCGGATGTAGAATCTAACACAGCTGAGCCGCATGAAAACAGATTAACGTTGAGTAGATGTTAGTCTTAAGGCGCTCTCTCAAGTGAACATTTTTCAAAGAGTTCCTAATAGCTGGTCAAAGTTAGTTCGAAAATTAGTTTGTTTTTTCGAAACCTTTCTTTTTATTTTATTATTAAAACACATCATTTTGATGGTCAAAGCTTGTTCAAAGCTTAGCTTTTTGGAATGTAATGAGTTAAAACATACAGCGATGGCCAAGAAGACGTTGAGTAGAGTGTAGTTCCCGAGGAGGACTAGGGCGATGAAGTAGAAGGCGTAGAGCATGCCAGCACTGCAGGCCCTCTCTTTGTTGTCACATGCAGACCGGATCCCATCATACATGACCACGTTCCAGTCCTCCCCTGTCAGGATCTGCAATTAAAACATACACGAATGATAATAAACTATCCAGAAAAGTGTCTGGAAAGTAAAACAACAGCTGTTAGGACGACGACAAACGGTTTTGATGGGAGTATGGGAGTTTAAGGCGACGCTACATACAATCCCACATAGTGTTTTCAGAAATGAAAAACCCTTCAAATTTGAACAGTTCATTTCAATTGTTTTAACGCTCATTTGTCGTCTTAATGGCCTGTCGTTTCATTTACCTGGCACTGTCCAGATATGAAGTTACTCACGGATCTCTGACTCTCGATTATATTTTTTAAAAGCAAAGAAAATGACATACTATCAGAACGAGACACATTCGGAGACATCTGAATCCAGAAAACTTATTTATTTTTCTTACGATCTAAGAGCAGCGAAATCTGAACGGAAAATAATTGGTGAAAAATTGAAAAGATTTGACTAATACTCAGATTTTGCAGCTCTTAGACCGTAAAATAATGAAATACGTTTTCACATTCAGAATTCTCCGAAAGTTTCGTTTTCTAAAAATTCTATAACTTAAGAACCCCGTGAAACTTTTAAAAAATGCTATTTGCACTTAGAAAGTTCCAAAAAATTAGTTTTCGAAGGTTTCAGACACGTTTCAGTTGATTCTGACAGTTTTTAAGTTTGTAGAATGTAGTTTGTGTTTACCTGGAATACTGTCATGAGGGCTATGGGGAATGTGTCGAAGTTACTCGCAGGAGTGCCACTGTCAAAGTTGAACCTAAAACAGACTGTTTGGGTAGAAAATGTATTCAGAAATTAAAAGATACAAAGTCAAGACAAGCACAAAATAGTGCACATCTGAAAGTCCTAAAAATTAATTGAAATCAAAATAAAGTGTCTACAACTCTTAAAACGCAGCTCTGCAAAGATTTTTATCCGTTAACCGATTACGATTGTTTATAGATTTGATATCGTCAAAAAGTTCCCGTGCGCAGTTGACAACATGTAACGAAGATCAATTTGGGGTGCAGTTTAGGACAACAAAAGGGGAGGGGGTTTAGGTGGTGATACGGACCGTCCCCCGAACATCTGCATTCCGAGGAGGGCGAATATCATGATGAAGAGGAAGAGGAGGAGGAGGAGGGAGACTATGGATCTGATGCTGGACAACAGAGTGATGCCCAGGAACAGCAGCTCGTTCCAGTGACTACGCAACACAACTCACTCACTCTTTAGAACTTTTAGATGATTGAAAAGTGTGCTTTTAAAATCATAAAAACTGTGTCATTTTGTGTTCATTTTCAAGAGTCGCTCAAGGTTAATTGACACAAAAACTACTAAAAAATACTGCTTCAAGTTAGAACAGTGGACGTTTATTATGGACGAAGTTAAATTTCTATACAGAGCTGGCAAAAAATGGGAAAACACCGGAATTTTTTTCTTATAAGACAGTTTTCTTGACTAAACATGGTATCCATACTTTTAGAAGCTGTGAAGAGCCCAGTTGCAAATTGGCATCAGAGACAAAGTGAAAGACCGCCAGATCCTCATTAATGCACCTTATTGGGTTACTTTAGTGATAAGCAGACAGAAAAAAAAATCATGCACATTGTACTTCAGTTAGTCATACACATCAGACTTACTAGAAGGTATCATTTCGAATTATTATACAAACACAGTGGGATAAGTAAGCGTTTCGAGAGCTCAGCTAAGGTAGAAATGGAGAAATGGGTATGTGGGAGCTTTTTGTGACATACAGTTATGAGGTGTACCACTTTTATGTCAACTGCTTGTATTTGTTTTGCGCATACTTCAAACCTCTCAAACGCTCATTCATAAACATCTTGATGTACTTGGACTGGAAATCTTGCAAAAGTCTTGCGAGAAAAAAGCTGAAAAAAAAAATTGTATTTCCTTGCAAGATTTCTTGCAAAATTAGCTTTCCGAGATCAGTGGGGCAGCTGGCTGTTTGTTAAGGAATAGAGAGCGGTGTGGGAACTTACGATCCTCCGAACAGCTGCATTCCGAGGAGGGCGAATATCATGATGAAGAGGAAGAGAAGGAAGAGGAGGGAGATGATACTCCTCATGCTCATCATGAGCGACAGCACCAGATTCCGCAGAGAAGACCAGTAGCTGCACATCACCAAACAAACAACACAAACACCCGTTAGAAAGAAGAAGAAGAGAGAAAATAAATGTGCAATTAGACGACACTGTTAACATCAGGTATAAGCTCACACTTGGAAGCAGGTTGAAGCATCGAAATAGTTTTTGGTGTTTTGAAAGAAGCAATTTGAAAAGATAAGCGTGTTTGAATTAACAATTGTTCCGTTTCAGCTTCAAAAACGAGATATTTCGGCCGACGAAAAATATAGTGTATGAGGGCGAAACTAGGATGTGTTCGAATTCAGAAGAGATGGATTTTGAAAAGTTTGTCGAATTTTGATATTAGATCTTCTTTCAAGGTCAACTAAATTGCCAATTTCAGCTTTTCGAAGCCCACATTAGTAACAATATGAAGCCCCTATTTTGACAAAACGCTCTGCACTCAAGTTAATATGACTTGGGTCAAGCTAATATGACGAGGTTGTTCATGTGTGCTCACCGGGTGACCTTGAACACGCGGAGAAGACGGAGAGCTCTGAGTACTGAGATGCCGAAGGACTCGTTCTTGTAGTGGCTCCAGATCTCCTCCCCTATGCTGCCCAGAATCACCTGCCCAATCAAAGCCAAGGTCAAATAGAGAAGAACATTACCAACACCCGCGACATCACAGACGAACACTAGTATAGCGCACATATGCATTTAAAGAAAAAGAAGGGACGGCGACAGCTATTATATTCATAAGCGTCTTTTTAAAGTGAAAATATTTAAACCAATTTATCTAAAGCTCAGAAGCTCAGCAAAAGCCTTTTAATTGAATACAACTTTTCAAAAAAATAAGCAAGTGTAGTTCAGTTTTTGTGGTTTTTATTTTGTAAAGAAGCTCAGCAAAAGCCTTTTGATACAATCTAATTGGCCCGACACTAGTATGTTTCATAATAGCTTAATTTTGATATTTTGAAAATTAGTGCTAAGCGTTGGGGGCGGTGTAGTGGATATTGGCATTGTTTGGGGCGGGCGGAGGGTGGGGTTGTGTGTGTGTGGGGGGGGGAGGGGGGTTGGAAGTTGGGGGGTCTGTACCTGGTGACTTCGAGCATGCGGAGTAGTTTGACGCACCTCCACACTCTGACCCCGAAGTTGTCAGAGTGATAGAGGGGACTGCTCAGTGCCTCACCCACGGAGGCAAAGATTATCTATTCACTCACAATTTTCACAATTGACACCATCATCAAATTTCTACTTTAATTATTTTTGAGGGTTTGGACAAATCCAGTTGAACATCTTCATCACTAGTATAGTGTGTTAAGTAACAAAATTAGTATGGCCAATCACAAGCTAATCTCTGGCTCTCCTCCCTTCCTCCCCCCACCACAATTAAGCATCATTTTTATGGTGTAACGAGGGGTCTTACAAAGATAATTATGGATACCCAAAAAAGTTGGTCATGTCCTAATCAGTCCGCATGCCAATTGTTGTAATTGTTGTAACATTCAGACAATGTGAACAAAAAGGTACTAGTAACTATTCGCGGGAGAGGCTTATTTTGAAAGCTCTAGTAAAGTACTCACAACGCAGTCGAAGCAGTTGAAGGAGGACTTGAAGTAGAGTTTGGGTCCCAGGCCATACATCTTGAGCAGCATCTCGAACATGAACAGTGCCAGGAAGATGTACTCTGTGTACTCTACACACAGAATAGAAAGACATTTTCATCAGACGAACATTTTGAAATACATGAGACACCGGCCTATTTGCATGTGTGACGATTAGCTTGCCCACCCCACGTAAACGAATGTAGTTTGAAAAGCCGCTATTTCACGTTTTGTCAGCCAAATTTTTAAATAGGTGAAAGTGAACGTTTTAAATACCCCACAAATCAAGCGGTTTTCAAAATGGTTTTGAAATTTTTGGCTAATTTGTTCGTCTGAAAGCACGCCCAGTTAAAGCAATTATCGCATGCTAATAGGCACACATGCTAACCGCTACACCCCCAAATACAAGACGATGGCGGGGAAGTCCCTGATACATGAAGGACTGAATTATTGATAGTCATTTTAGTCAATAAAAATTTAGAAATCTGAAAGAAGCTAATTTGAAAATCTGTCATTTTTGGAGTTTAGAGGATGATTATTGGTAGAAAACTTTCGGGACCTTGGTGCGTCCGGTATGAGTTATCGTACCTAAAGTCACCAGCGGGTTCCCGATAATGTCATTGATTCAAGATGACTGCTATCAAAATATAATTAACAAGCTCTCCTATGCTTCCATAACAATCTGCCATATTCCATTCAATTTCAAGATAACTTCTTCTGGTTAGCCCATAGCTCTGTTTTTTTTTCACGCGCGTACCTTTCATATTGATCTTAGTGAATACATATTACAATGGCTTGTGATTGGTCAATGGTGTGCTCACTTAGAAAAGTGGTGAGCCAATCAGGTTGGTTGTAGTGTTCCACAGCGACAAACACAGTATTGAGGAAGACAAGTGCAATGATGGTCCAGTAGAAGGCATTACTCTTCACCAGCTTCTTGATGAAGTGTCTCAACTGTTTCTGCTTCCGCTTGTACTCGGGGGAGTTGCTCTTCCCCCTCCCCCCAGTGCCAGAGGGGGCATTGTGGTGGTTGCGGGTGAAGGGGTTGTCTAGAGAAACAAATCCATCGCTGACAAAAAAGGAACTAAACCGGTCGACATTTCCATTAGTGTGCAATTTGGATCAAGTTAACATCCTCCCCCCCCCCCCCCCCCCCCCCCCCCCAAATAGACCAAGTTAAGATCCTCCACCCCAGCGTTCATTTTAATTTAAATCTACTTAGCGCTGCATGTAAAATGCTCTATTCTGATTGGCTGAAAGTTCGAACTCAGAACCAAGTTTACATCCTCTCCCCTAAATGGATTTGAGGGGGGGGGGGGGAAGAGGATGTTAACTTGGTTCTGAGCTCGAACTTTCAGCCAATCAGAATAGAGCATTTTACATGAAGCGCTAAGTAGAGTTAAATTAAAATGAAAGCTGGGGTGGAGGATCTTAACTGGGTCTATTTTGGGGGGAGGATGTTTAGTTGATCCAAATTGCACACTAATGCAATTTTTCTAATACATTTTATAAAGCAAGGATTTAACACTTGAACAGCTCTTAAATGATTAAAATGAAATGTTTTTTTTTGCCTTCAATGAACTTCAAAACCACTATATTAAAATGATCTCTCAACAAGCAGGTCTAAAGGGGTAGTTGTAAGAGGAGTCGTAGATTTCTAGATATAAATTTAATTTAATAGATGTAATATGAAAAGGCTACCTGTAGCACCATCGTCTTCCTCCTCCTCTTCTTCGTCTTCGTCTTCCTCGTCCACTTGTATTTTGAACTTGCCCTTCAGCATCAGCTGTTTTCTACGCTCTAAACACCACAAATCAAACTCAAACACGACTTCCGATTAAGAACGACCTGATATATTGTATTTTAAACAGCATTAATGTCATAATGAACTCAATTCCTTTGAAGCTAGTTAGGGCTTTTTGAGACTTGACTATCGCAGCTCTGGATCTATTTCATTTTCAGGCTGTCTGTTATGTTAGATCGCTAAGCTAGAATAGTTTTAGAGACGACAATGAGAATGAATGAACTGTGCTGACCTCTGATGGCTCTCTTCTCTTCCTCTGAGATCTGTTCTTCTGCTAGCACCACTTCCTCTGAAACAAAAGATCAGAAGATCAAATGGAAATGTCTTTCGATTTATTTTTATTCATTTCATTCTGAACTCTGTTTTGGTTTATTTCATCCTGAACTTTTAGATTTGTTTTTACAAAATGTTCAGCTTGTAATATTTTTAAACAGCCGGTTTTCTCCAGATCAACGTTGAAATTACATTAAAAAAAACTAAAAAGTCCAAACGACAATTCGATGTCTTGTTCCAATTCTGGTGATTTCCAACTTTTATTTCATGTGTTTCCAAAAAACACTGTGGTTAATGAAAAAAAAATCAGTTCCAAGTATTTTGAAATTATAATGCGTGTTTTTTGTTTGTGACGTGGTTGTTGTGATTCTGATTGTTACCGGCTTTGATGAGCCAGTTCATGTATCCCTCCAGTTCTTTCTCCAGCTGCTTCTGTCTCTTGTTCTTCAGGAACTCCCTCCTGTTCTCCACCTTCTCCCTCTCCTTCGCAAACTCACTACACACAACACAATACACGTCATCGCAATTTAAAGGGGGGGGGGGTCAATTAACTTCAATTTGCTCGATAAGATCAATAGAGGTCATTGGAGGACATAGCACGTGATGCGTAGTGTCTCAATTTTGATTTGAAAAATTCGCATTATTTTGAAATTTTAGGGATAATTTAAAACTGTTTGTGATAATTAAATAGCCTGATAATTAAATTAATGAATAATTGATAATTGATAATTAAATATAATTTAATTAATAAATGAACAGCCTGACAACTGCCCAGCATCGTCGTGTCGCGATTATTAGTTTGGAGGTCAACTGAAATAAATCGGATGGTCATTTCAAGGTCAAAGCATCCATTTTTGGTCAAAAATTTAAATTTCATGTTTATTTTTAGTTTTTTTTTTGAATTTATGTGTAGCATGAGTTTTTTCAAGCAACTCAAAACCTCAAAAAACGCTCGTAAGATATTGTGTGTAGTATCAAATGAATAATCTTTCATTGGGAATTTATACACCTGGAAGATAATACAAAAATCTTTCTTCGGACCAATTATCCTTAAGGATAAGGAGCTAATCCACTATCAAACTGATTTAAAGTTTTTCGAATACACTATTTAAGGTATCTTTGCGTACTTGGTGAAAACTTGATCAGAATTTTTATGAAATTATCTAATTTTTGCTAAAATTTCAATTTCATAAAAACTATGCTTGGACTATTCTCTGATTTTTTAGAGAAACGGGCTACTCTTGCATACAATTATTTTTATTTCGACATTAAAAAAAAAGATAGAATAATTATACGAAGATACATCGCAGGTGGCTTATTTTGTCAAATTCAATGGATTTGATAAATGCTAATTACATTGAGTGCGAGTGAAGAAATTTAAAAAGTGATTTTTTTTTGCTAACATTTATATCAGACACCCTCACACGAGCATGATTGTTTCCGTTTTTTATTTCAAAAATTCAAACTGTATCAGCTTTCAAAAAGAGCAGAAAGTTGTATATAGAGAAAATTTATTCCGTAAAAAATATCTTCCGAAATGTTGAAGAACAAAAGCCCCTTACTGCCTGCTGTCATTTACGAAAAAAATGAGTTTTTGCTAGTGTTTTGATTTTTTTTTGCGCTGAAGTTTTTTTTTAATTTCACACACACATACACACACACACACACAAATATATTCATATATGTGTATATACATTTACTTTGTTTATATGTAATTATAATATAAATCATTTCATTTTTTTTTTATAAATTGCTGTTCTAAATTGGGATATTGGAGCTCGTGGTCTACTAATTAAGTGCATGATACCCAATGATAGTGAATAAGTTAAACTGCTGAAAATGCAAAAGCGCGCAAAAAAAGTTGAAAGATTTTTGATTGCACCTAATTTCAAATTTTTTGAAGAATAATAACCCTTTGCTGCGTGAGGTCATCTCTTAATTTTTTTTTGAACTTTTGCTAGCATTTTGAGATTTTTTGTTCATGGCGGTGGAGGGATCTCAAATTTCGCTTCTCAATGAGGTTACTAATTGTTTCTTATGAAAAAATAGCTTGAACAATGCAGATAGTGAAGCCTTAGCAATGCATTTTATTGTTTGACCATTTCAAAAATGCGGAACTGTGGAGGAACTTTGGATTTGTGTGTTTTTGTTTTTTTAGGTACCAAAAAATCATCGGAAGGTGTCAATTTTTTTGTCATACTAAAGCACTTAATTTTTAAAGCCCTTTCAATCGTGAAAAAATTTGATCAGTGTCAAAAAAGGTTTGTTTTTTTTTGGTCTTTTTTACGCTAATAAGGTTCCTTAAAATACGGTGTGCAGGCTTGCAATAGCTTATTTAAATTTAATTTAAGCCGTAAAAATTTATTTACACTTTCAATTTTTTTACGTTTTTTTTTTTTCGTTTTCAAGTCATTGTTCTACAGAAACTGTTTTCCAATTGGCCGATTTGACTATGACTGTCGAATTTACCTAACTTCTATTTTTCCGCTCAGATCTTACCGTGACACCACACAAAAAACGAAACTGATTGGAAGGAAAAAATGAACTATGGGCGGAACATTCTGTGCTAGCGGCACAGTAACCGGCTATCCTTGTTTTTTTTTCTAAATTGTTTTGCAACTTTTTTTCTGGTGATCTGGGGAGCTTAGCTCTGTGTTTGAACTATAATAGCTTATTCTAAAAAGATTAACTATTAAATGATTCAGTTAGCAGAATTTTTAAATAGCGTTTTCTCGACACTGGGAAAACGTTTCTAAAAGTTTTCATAGCAGATCGAATAATGACTGGCTTCGACAATAACAGCAGTGCCATTTAAAAATTAGAGACGCAAAAATGGCATGGAGCATCAAAAGTGTTTCATTATAAGCAAGCCATCCGAAGTCATGCAAAGTTGCCCTTAGATAGATTCTCTGCGAGTCGAAGAACAAAATTGTTATAAAGATTTTTAGAGTTTTTGAATCCAGTGTCCTAACCAAATGATCAGTGGACCACACCCCTTGGCCGAGCCTGGTTCAAAAATAATATGCTTGTTTTGGTAGTTATTGAGATTCCATTCACAAATTTCAATAGTGGTTGCTGCGAATCGCAGAGGTGCTATAAGTGGGCCCTAACTGTGGAAAAAGGAGCTCAACTACAGTTATTATTCGACTGACCCGGAGAGTACTCCGAGTACTAGATTGAGCATGAAGAAGGAGCCGAGGATGATGAGGGGCACGAAGTAGAGCCAGGTGTAGGTGGCCCCGATCGCATCACTCGTCCAGTACATTACATCAGTCCAGCCCTCCATCGTAATACACTACAACAACAACAACACACACACACTTCACAATTCCAATCACTTTTCAACTCATTATTCAAATCAATATTTTCGCAATTATTTGTGCACGTTATGAAGTCGTAAGCATTAGCTGGGTCATCGGCGCTAATGTATAATAGTTTTGAGATGGAAGCGCGCGCAGAAATTTTTTTGGTCAAAACTTTTCAAAAATAATTAGAATTGTCTTTTTTGGCCTGTTTTGTCGAATGTTTCATTAAAAACAATTCTAAAAAAGGTCGATAAATTTTTTTTTGAAAAAAAAAGTTGAGAAATATATATTCTAAAAAAAACAAAGGTAGAAAAAAGACTCGAAATTTTTTTTGAAAATCCGCTCCCATCATCGGAAAAAAATCCTAGATGCTTGCCTGGTTAAAGGTAAATGAACTTACGCGAATTTGGCAAAAAAAAGGAATGAGTTTTGCTGAAATATTTCGAGGCCATCATTATTATTAATATCATGGTTATTATGATTATTATTATGATTATATTTTGGAAATTAAATAATTCAAACAAGTTTTATCATTTGAGAGTTTTTCTTAAACTACATTTTTTTTGCAGAAAACTGATGGATAAGGAAGGTAATGTTATCATTTTAGCAACCTGGAACACAGTGAGCATGCCGTATCCGATGTTGTCGAAGTTGGTGATTCCGAAGTTGGGTCCAATCCAGTATTTCTTGCACACATAGTCCGACGGACACTGGTAGCCCTGGTCGTCTGTGCCACAGATGTGAGGACTGTCCGGGTCCAGAATCTCCTCTGCAAACGACAGTGGTTGTCCAAAAACTCTGCTTTGGTCTCAGAAACAGAATTGGTTTAAATTTGTGGCGTTTAATTACATTTTCATCATGTCTGCAGACTTTTTAATAGCCAAGTTTTCTGTTCAAAGTCAACCATATTTTAAAATGTTCATGCATTTTAGTTTTAGTTTTTAATTTTGATCGGATAATTTCAAAGCAATTTCTAAAACTGAGAGTTCAAAATGAAACTCTGAAAGATTTTCAAAATCAATAGTGGCTCCTGCTCGTGGGATATTGGAATATTAAATGCGCGCGTGTGTGTGTGTTTGTGTGTGTGTGTGTGTGTGTTTGTGTGTGTGTGTGTGTGTGTGTGTGTGTGTGTGTGTGTGTGTGTGTGTGTCTTACGTGTGCGGTTGTGGAAGCAGGTGAGGTGGAAGCTCTCGTTGAACAGCTCCAGTCCGATGATGGCGAAGATGACGATGGCGAAGGCGAGCAGCAGGGCGATCTGCAGCAGAGGCGCCATCGCCTGAATGATCGACTTCAACACCACTTGCAAACCTACACAAGGAACACAATCAATGTCAACTCATTGCTGCTTGTACCACTAGCCATAGGTTCCGGATTGAATCCAGGTGGGCAATCTTTATTCAGTCATCTTTTTTTCGTCAGTCAACATTTTTTGTAAATAAACTAATGTTATAAAAGTTTGACTTAACTGATTAGCTGCAATATAGCTGCAATATTGGTACAACTAGTATAAATCTACTTGAGCTCAGGTGTCAAATTATTTAGAGGTCAAACTACTAGTGAACAAGTGGGGTCAATAACAGTTAGACATGAGTAGGAGTAGTGACGGATGAGTGGACTTACTGGGTATTCCCGACACCAGTTTGAGTGGTCTCAGCACCCTGGCAGCCCTGAGAGCCTGTGTGAAGTTCATGGAGGGACCAACGGCTGTTATGAAGCTACAAAACAAATATACATACACACACACACACACACTCCATACATTTAGTCCATAACCACTACCCAATTACATCAGGACCATACATCAGGTCCATACATTAGGTCCATACACTAGGTCCATATATTAGAATCATACATCAGATCCATACATGAAGTCCATAAATCAGGGCCATACATCAAGTAGTCCATTTTCCCACATAGTCCATTTACCAAAAAGCCCCCCATAAACAGTTATGAGTCATCAATAGTTATCTACAGGTTTTGGAACAGCAATAATTATACAAGCAAGTCCATGATTTTTTCTATGGCTGTATTTTTTTCTTGTATGTAATGACAGTTTTTTTTGATGAAATCACATTCTATCATCAGACAATTGTTCCAGTTTTATCACAGCCAAAATTGCAATAAGAACCCAGGCGGTTACAACAGCCGGAAGCACATAGGCACAAAAATCAATTTTATGGATTTTAAAGTTTTAATGGAAGATTTTGGTTATCAGTTATACAGGATTTAACATTTGTGAATATACATGGGCTCCAGTTTTCAGTCAGTTTTCGTCAACGTTTATTTTCAGGGGCAATGATTTATATATTAAGCCAGCCATTTTCTGCATTTTATTGCTAGTACCCCGAGGTCAAATACAGTAACAAATCTTATTATTCGCGACTTGTAATCAGCACATCAGCCTGCATAATATTTTAAATTTTGAGGTCAAGAGAGGTATTCGGTTCTGGTTGATCTTACTTTCGAAGCCTGAGACCAACTTGAGGGGTCTCAATACTCGCAGGGATCTTATCCATGGCTGGTCCACAGACTTATAGTTGATAGTGGACAGAAGCCTAGAAATGATTATAAACTCCTGATGCTAGACTATTTTGAAATCTCGGCTAGCCGACAAAAATGTAGCTAAAAAAATGCAAAAAAAAACATCATAAAGGCAATTTTCTGATATGTTTACTTTAGAATGCTCGTTTTTGATTCAGATTTTGAGGGATATTCTTAACAAAAATGATATCTAAGCGTTCGGTATAACCATTCCTTAGTGGAACATGGGATGCACGCATGTTCAGCATCAAATTACGCTTCATCTGACTTAATTTTTGAAGCATAAGCAAACGTACCCGGTGACGACTACTACAAAATCTAGAATATTCCATCCGTTCCTGAGGTAGGACCTGGGATGCAGTAACAGTCCCTGTGCTATGATCTTGAGCACTGCCTCTATGCAGAATATAGCGAGGAACACACTCTCCGTCTTCTCCAGCTTCTTCGCCAGGGGGGTCTTGTCGTCTTTGGGCAAGTGGGTCTCCAGCGCCAGCACCACACAGTTGGCCATGATGGTGAGTAGGATGAGGTACTCGAAGGGAACCCATTCGGTGATTCTCTTGGCCCATTTGCGGATAAAATTGTCTTCCTAAAATCACAGAAATGTTCAACAGATCATTGAATTTAGTTTAAAAAGTAAAATAAATAGAGTAAAACAAAAGTTCTTTGCGAATATGGCTCAAAAAAATTATAACCACGATTTTAAAAATTTCTTTGCTTAAGACTGAAAACGGAAGATCGAAACATTTTAAAATCAGTTTCTTATCCATAATTATTTTCCAAACTTTTTGTGCGTTTTCTGTGTGTTAATTTTCATTCCAATCTGTGAAATTTTGTTCAACTTTTCATTAACTCGATGTTATTTCATCTTCGCACACAAAGCTTACACGGGTCAATGAGTCATATTTGAGAAAAAAAAATCAAAGAAACGAAGAAAAAATTGCTTGCAAAATCGGACAGCAAGAAAGTTGTTAGGTAGGAAAACGATGCTAAGCTAGCTGAAAGTTTTCTAGGTTCAAATGATTATCCTCTCTTCAGCTTATATTTTCATTAAAATTTAAAAAAAAAATTTTTAATCTTCGTTGTATTTGTAAAATTTAACTGGCCTGAAAAATGAATAGACTGTTGTTAGCCGTGAGGCAGTTGGCAGCCCCAGTGTTGCCACTCATATTTGCGCCTCCGTGTCCGGATCCGGTCTGGTTGGAGGAGATGCTTCTGGCTCTACTGGCTACGTGGTGCAGTCTGGCCAAGTTGTGGGAGGGGTGGCTGCCCCCTTGACCACCCGCACGGTAGTCCATGACCACGTTGGCAAATGCCGAGGGGTGGATTCTGCAACAATGACATAACACTACTATGACGTAACAGAACAAGTCTTCTCATCGTGTAATATGTAAGCCTGCGGGCAATCAACTAGTAAAATCTTTGCAAATTTTGAAATGAAAATAAATAAGAATAGTTTAAGACAGGCTTCCGTGTTTTTGACTTCAGGCTATATTCAAAATAAAAGATAAAAAGTTTCGTTTATATATTAATCGTTTGGTCCTTTTAAAGGTGGAAACTTTCAGGTAATTTTGAACTTTCAGGTTTCAGAAAAAAAATAGAAAAAAATATTGATTGGATAAAATGAAAACAATTTTGCTGAACTAATTAAGCGATAACTCAGTTTTTACGCCAATTTGCTAAATCAAAACATTGATAAATTGCAACGCTGACAAATTGCGTCGATTTTAATTTATCTAGTGATACCATTTTACCATCAAATGATGTTTGCATCTAAAAATAAGGAAGCCAATTCGACTTTTTAATAAGGAAAAGTAAACAACAAACTATTGAGCTCAAACATTATGTCCTTCCATTGCGTGAACAATTAACAAAAATAGAAGTTCGACTTAAATGGAAAATATTTCCTCTCTCTCTCTTTTTGCTCTCTAAATCTGAAAACGCTCCATTGAATTTTGATAAGCATACAAGTAATAAAATTGAAAACGGCATTGCACATGCAGTGCCACAAGCTGAAAAGTGAGGAAATTTTTAATGGTATGTTTGCATCTAAGTATGGATAGATAAAAAAGTTATTTCTGCATCTTTTTTGGTGTCTTTTATTTCACTTGCAATCTGTGTGCAATAATTTGAGTAGATGAAGAGCCAGTTAATCGTTCAATGCGACGACCATGATGGTGTGTTACTCAAAAGCGGCGGCGGCGATGGCGTTGCGACGGCGGCACTTAAGCTGCGGAACGCATTGCATGACGTAAGATGAATGAACGCAAAGCAAAGCATTTGAGAAGGATGAGCTAGAAGGCAATAATAATACTAAGGCAGGAATTTAGATTTAGATGCATCAAAGGAAGGAATAAAGATAGTTGTTATGTTTGCATCAGTCCCGATTGCGCGGCCGGTCGGCGGATTGCATTTGCTGTGCATTGCGGAGCATTGTGAGGCTGCAATGGCATCAATGACGATGATGGAAGGAGAGAGAGAGAAAGAAAGAGAGCGATTGCGGGATGTATTTGGTGGAAAAGTGACGTTGATGTTCCCAATTCCCACTTTTCACTTATGTCACCAACGGTCACGCTGGAAAAAACTCAACTGATCTAAAATGAGCTCCCATCTGTTTATTTCAGCCAAAAGATCGAGCAGTTTACAAATGGTTACGCAATAATAAACTCTTGACAGTTATGCAAAATGTTATGCAAAATTGAACTCGAAAAATGATTGACGATGAAAACTTTTGACTGAGCCATATGTTTCATTCTCCTTTTCGGCTTGTGTACCATTCGGTTAAGGTGTTTGACGTTTTAGTGGTTACGGACACTTGCCTGTAGCATTTGGTCGCTTTACTCTGATGGTCACTACGCCACATAACCAATTCATACATCTCATAATATCTCTTATTTTCCTATTTTTCTCCCTTTTCTCTCTCATTTCTTTCTCTCTATCCCCCTTTCTCTCTCGCTCCTCTCTGCCATTTTCTAATCCACTAAAAGATTACTATTAGTTTATACTACAACACTACTAACACTGTCTCTTCTCTTTCTGACATCCGTACGTCCCATTTTTATACAAAAAAAAAACGCTACACAAAAAAAACAGACCAAAATGTCCCTATAATACTTACTGCTATTATGCCAAAAATAAAGGATAGCAGATTAAAAGCAATCATGCTTTGAAATGAGGCGATAAGGATGATGGTAAAAACAAGAAAGAACATAAGATAATCTCCCAATTTTCACCAAAGAAGTCACTCTAAAAAAAGCCATTAAAAATCAAGGTTCACAGAATAATAAAGAGACTAATCTCTCTTTAAGCACATCAGTTTTGAAGTTTGTGATTGCGTCACTTCGGATTTCCGCGGGGAGGAGCTACTCTAAAGTTATTTTTATCTTTCCTCGATTTGACGAACAAAAAAATCAGACAGGATTTTGTCAGCATTTGTTCTTAAGCTAAGCAAACACGAAATATCTTATTTCTTATTTAATTCTAAAATCAAATCAATCACAATTTCTCGAACAAAAGAACAATGCAAGAAACTTTTACAAGAAACAATAATGCAAAATGAACGAACTGAACATAAGATCTTTTCATTATTTTTTCACCTTTTTGTTACTTTAAAAAGTTATATCGTTACAGATTATTTAATTTTAAGTAGAATAGCAAAAATGTCTTTATTGAGTAAATAGCATTAGTTAATGTTTCAGCGATTGGCACTTGTTGTTTACTGCTTGCCAATAAATTTATGTAACCTAGTCAGACCTGGTACCAATGAGCTCATGGAACGCATAAAAGACAATTTTTTTTATAGTTTTGAGCTTCATAGCAAAAATTAAATCCACGTAAAAATCATCAAATTTCAAGATTTCACGGTCGATGATTTTCTCATAAAACTAGCAAAACTGCTTTTCCCCGCTGGACTATCAAAAGAACAGCCCAATTTCGAAACTGAAAAAAAGTTTGCACTTTTGTTAATAGCGAGCATATGCCATTTAGAAATTCAAATATTTAAAAGTTTAAAACTTTTTTTTTCAACCAGAATCAAGTTATTTTTTATTTTATCTTTTTTTCATAAATTTTTAAAATAAAAATAAAAAAGAACACGGCAAAATAACTTATAGTCACTTCTTTCATTAACACTTAGTAATTACATCAGCAGCCAGATTTTACAAAATCATCTTTTTTTAACATTTTCTTTGAACTTCAAACGTTAGATTGGAAAAAAGCTGAAACTCACTTTAAAAAAATAGTTGAAGCCTCCGAGCAGTACTTTCAAAATAAAATAAAATCCAGAACGGCCTTTCAAATTCAAATTCACATTATAACACTTAAAGTTTGCCAAGGTTTTCTAAAACTAAAATAAAATTACTGATGCACTTCGCTGTTGTGTTTCACATGGCATAATTTTGATGAATTAGCCATTATTTTTAATCTATTTTAACAACACATTGCAGTTTTCAAATTGTTATTCAATAAAAAAAAATTTCATGTCTGATTCTTAGATGTGTTTGCTCAAAAAATTGCAAACGATTAGCTTTGTTCTTTTTAAGACTCAGAGACAAATAAAAAATTTTTGTTGAAAAGTAGGAGCTGTCTAAAAAATAACAAAAACTCTAATCTCATATATTTTTGCAAAAAATGAAACCAAATTGAGTTTTTTCATAATAATCTATGAAAAAGCACTGTTTTTTTTTCAAAAAATTTTACTACTGTCTCAATAATCGCGCAAATTAAACTACCTTGAAAACCAATAATTTATAAAATTTATGCTTTGCACTTCAAGACAGCTCACTGTTGAGTTGCAAAAAATAATTAGCTCTACCTTAATTATAGATTAAATTTTTCACAATTTTTATTGTCATTGCAATAAAATCTTGTTAAATCAATTTGGAATCCGAAGTGCGACTCAAACTTATTTGTTATCATACCTCACAAAATTTTTTACAAGTGTTTGCTAAAGTATTCAACTTTCGGAGAAAATGGGGCTTCTACCACAAATTCCTTCCAACTTCTCGAGAGTGGCTGGATTGAAAAACCTGCAAAAAAACTTGAAAAAAATAAAGTGTGAGTTAGGATTTTCTAGCGTTTCTGAGCAGAGCAAAACAAGCGAACTAAAACTACATCATTCATTGAACCTGAAATTGTTTCCATTACTGGCGTCTGCCATCAATATTTGGGAATGAAACCAACTTTGAATTGTTTTTTGATTGAAAATGATGATAAATATGTAATTACTAAAATTCATGATCACCGAGCCTGAGGAAAAAATACCTTGGCTATGCACTTTGGAACCAATGAACAATCTATAATCATTCCGCTATCTATTATTGAAAATGAATTAAGAAATTGAACCCAGTAAATTGAGTGATTGTTCAAATGTTTATTAAAATTTTATTGAATTTTGAGTCGAGATTCAAATCAATATAAATTAGAATAAAATAATTTTGAATCACACCGGACAATTTAGCGAATCAACAGTTTCCTAAGCGAGAATGTTTAAAAAAATTCAAAAATTTAGTCGACTTTTTTCAATAGATTGACAAACTTAACATTCCGAGTTTTCCTAAAAAACTATACATACAAACATTTGCCAATATTTTCCAATTTAAAACGATTTTTTTTCAAAAAATTAGTCTCAAAAACTGGCATTTTGGATCATTTTAGTTATAAATTTCAATCAAGATATTGCGTTTTGTAGGCGTGCGCTTTTCCTTGTACTAATATACTCTGCATTTAAAATAGATATACAAGAAAATTAACAAATTTAAGTGCAAATCTACAATTTCCTCATAAAAAGAATTTTCAGCAAAAAAAAATTAAAAAATGGACTGCTTTGACAAACTTTTTAAAAATGTACTACCTTGACAAAGTTTATGATCTGAGCTCGTCAAAAACACTAATCAGAAAAAAATATGCCAAAAAAATCTGCTCCGCACATAATTTTTAAAAACACAGGCCAAAACCGGCATTTTATTCCGTTTTTTGGTAAATATTGCGTTTTACAGCCGTCGCTTTTCGACAAACTGTATTATTCGGACTTTGAGAAGAGAATCGATTTTTGGGAGGGATAATTTGGTCATTTATCTGAATTGCGAAGTGTCCCCTTTTCAATTTTAAACACGTTCTTGAACATATTTGAAAAATTGTATCAGATGAAACAATTTTTTCAAATACATGCTGGGTACGGTGAAAAAAAAACATTAATAAATTTTTAAATAAAAAACTACAAAAAAAAACATTTTTTTTAGAAATAAAAAAGTTGCTCATACAGCTAAAGCAAATGAATCAGATCAAAAATATTGGCAAAACTTTAAATTAGTGGAATAAACGTCCAAATA